AATTACGGTCTCTATTAGTCCAGCTTTTTTTTTGAAGTGGTCTCTAAATGTCTCGTGCTTTTGAAAAACATTGTGTTTTTTAGTAATAAATTAAAAAAAGATTTTTTACTATTTTTAACAGTATTAAACACTACAAAATGTTATTATTCAAGTTTAAGAATATTTAATCATACTATTTAAACACACAACTTTAAAAATATATTCACTTATATTCACTTTTTGTTTGATATTTGGCAGAGCATGGAGCTGCACAAAGTTCTACATCACATTCTACACATTCATATCTTAAATCTTTTCAAACTTTGTGTTTGTAACATACCACGCATCTTCTCTGAGCATTAGTCTTTCATTATCAATTTCATTAATCACTCATCAAATATATCTTTCGATTAATCATTCATCAAATATCCCTCCAACTCCCTATAAGTACCTACGCTTTTAACCTACCTACCCAATATTTCATCATATTTTTTTATCTAGTGTCTCCTTACTTTTATAATTGATCCCCTGCCCCTTATCTCAAATACGCCTTATGTAGACTCCCTCTCCCGCATCCGAACATACATTCATATATATATATATATATATATATATATAGGGTTATAATTAATTTTAATACATATTTATACATTCATTTATTTTATACCTATTTACACATAATTTATACATACATTTTTAAATCATAAGATATATTTTTTTAGGACATGTGGTGGGTGCATTAGAAATGGAAAAAGCAATGAATGGTTTACTTGTAAGGTATTTGTTTAGTATTGTTTTTTGTTGTCAACATTGTTTATAAATACTTATTTTGTTTAGTGTAAGAAAAAACTTACATTGAAAGTCATCATCACTATATCTCTTGTAGCCTATGCTCATCAACATTTTTTTTAAATGTTTACAGGCATCCTAAAAATGTATTTTATATAATATAATATACACAGGATGGAATACATGTTAATATTTACTATATTTAATATATGTAATATAGTACATATGATATATTTTAATTATATATTTTTTTAAATAATAATTCACCTCACTACAGTCGAGGAGGCTACTTTAGTTGTGGTTACAACCCTCTCTTTACTCTATAGTAAAAAGAGGGTTGTAACCACAAGAAACACTTGACGAACAAGATCGCTGCACAGAGCAATAAGTTGATATATATATATATATATATATATATATATATATATATTTATATATATATATATATATATATATATATATATATATATGTGTGTGTGTATATATATATGTATATGTGTATATATATATATATATATATATATATATATATATATATATATATATATATATATATATATATATATATATATATATATATATATATATATGTATATATATATATATATATATGTATATATATATATATATATATGTATATATATATATATATATATATATGTATATATATATGTATATATATATATATATATATATATATATATATATATATATATATATATATATATATATGTATATATATATATATGTATATATATATATATATGTATATATATATGTATATATATATATATGTATATATATATGTATATATATATATATATATATATATATATATATATATGCATGCATGTATTTATGTATATAAATTTATAAACAAAGAAAAAACATGTTACATTATATAGAGATAGAAATATTGTTATTATTAAAAGTTTTTAAATTGTATCAATGAGGTGGCCATTGGCATTTTTAAAAGCCATTAACCCATCGTTTCGGTATAAGTTAAAATCTGTTTTGTTATAATGCAGGGATAGCTGAAAAAGAAGAAAAATTCTGATAAGCTCTTATACGTGTCATCAAAAGGACCAATTGCAACATCAAACAAACCACTGTTCTTTTTAATCCAAGCTTATTATTATACAACAATGATTTCCGGACTTGCTTAGTTATTAATTTATCTTTGTTTTTCTTGGTTACATATTTCTCAGCATATTTAAACGCCTCATTCAAAAGATTTTCATTGATAGAAAGATAAAAATTAATTTTGATATCAAATTTATAAAAATGTTTGTTTTAATACCTTTGAACCATTCTGAAATATTTTGTGTGCTTTCTATTGATTGAGACAGAGAGTGTTTTTCAGATTGGCACTAATGTTAAATAAAACAAGTTTACTGATTCTTCTGATTTCATTTTTCACTAGATTTAAAAGGCGGACAGTAGATTTGTTTAAAAAATTGTCTTTATGATCTTTTAAAGTGATAAAGCAGTTAAATAGTGAATTAATTTCAATTCTGCTTCCTCATGATTTTTTACATAACTTTTTCCTCCAAATTTAACAAGCTATTTATTTGTAACTCTGATTTTTCATATGATGTAGTAATAGTGTTAGGAAGCAGTTTATTTTTAATTTTTTAGCAGTTACTTTTTAAAAATAACAATCTTTCTATATTTATACAATGTAACACTTAACCTTAATAACCATATTTTTAAACTGTTTCATAAACCAAATGATGAACTAAGTTATATACATATTGATTCCAATCTATGCCTAGCATTTGGAAGCAACTTTCTATAGAATTAAGGCTGTCAGCTAATTCATTTAATGAAACTATTTTTCTAAACTCTGCTCATTTGTATCAGGATGCATTAAAAAAGTCTGGTTACAAATTTAAACCTAGTTATATATTGAAACTCATCCAACCTCTATCAAAAAAATGTAAGCTGGTTTAACCCCATATATAAGCCTTCCCAGGAGACGCATGCAGTTTTTTGTCTTATATGTCCTTAGACAAGTTTTTTATTTTAGACAAACTAAGCATAGTCGTTAGCAAGTTTTATTATAATAAGCGTTTTAATACTTTGCCAAAAAAACAAAAAAAAAATTAAAATTTCGAAAACAAAAAAAACATAACTAGCAAAATAGAAAAATTAAAAAAAATTTAAATTTAAAGAAAAAAAAAAAAAATCATAATTTACATAATTTGCGCATTGTTTTTATTTTCATTTTTTTAGGGTGGTTGTTATTAAATTTAGTATTTCAAAAGACTTTTTTTTTTTTTTGCATTACTTGCTACATTACCATCGCAACTGTACTCAAAAATCAGATGTCCAGTGTAAAAGCACAAAATTCAAACAAAAATTTTTTATTAATAATTGTTTATGCATATTTCACCATAACATAGTAGATCAAAAGGGAGGGGGCGGATAGAACTTAGCGCATTGAGGCAAATGTTAAGAAGCAACAGGTATCCAAAATTACAGAGCGTTAGAAGATTGGGGATTAAAAATGGCTACAAAGCAAATATATGAGCAGCATTCAGTGTATGGAAAATATATGTATATTATATATATATACATATTATGTATGTATATATATATATATATATATATATATATATATATATATATATATATATATATATATATATATATATATATATATATATATATATATATATATATATATATATATATATATATCACAACTAAAACAAAACTCATCAAACTAAAATGCTTAGTTTATTTAATTTACAAATTAAAAAACCATTACATTCTTTGTTTTAACATTTGTACTTTGCTTTTTTTCTTTTTTTTTAAATGTTTTAAAAGATAAATATTTATCATAAAAAATAAATAAGTATATAAGTAAAAAAAGTTTATTAATAAAAATTCATTAGAAGTGTTTTGTCACTACATTAAAATGTGTTTTGTTAATATAAAAGCATTTAAGACCAAACTTATTTAATTGTAACGGCTTTCTAAAACATTTGTCTTTTTTTTTTTCCAACAAAATTTTGTTTATCTTTTCAAATGTATTAGTTATTCTTATATTAAAATTCGTTAAAGAAATTTTCATTGTCGTAGAATGTCATCGATTATAAAAACAAAACAACATTTTATTTTTTAATAATGTTTGTTATAAAAAGTGCACACTTAAGCAATATATATATTATAAATTAAAAAAATAAATACAACTGTCAATTATACTTTATAAAAAAACCATTATCAGTAATTTGTTACTTTATTTAAAAGCATTTCGCTAATATGAAAACATTTGTTAAAAGTTTTGATGTAATTTAATTTAAGTTTTGATGTAAGTTAACTTATGTTATAATTCAGAATATTTTTTCATTTAGCGCGTTTTTACAATGTTTTTTTGAAAAATTTGCGGTCAAATTGTCAAAACAAAATGTAATTTGCCTGGTCATATAAAGATGTGTGATCGCCCGCCTTACTATGAAAGACTGAACTGGGTGTTATTGAAGTATTATGTCATAAGCAGGATAATGAAAAAGAAATAGATCAACCTCATTACTCATCATATGGTTGTGTTCCTCAATAAAGTAAAGTTCTTCCTTTGCTTATTCTTGGATCTGAATAGCATATGCTAATCATGTCTGATATTCTATTGTTTATAATGTACTAGCTTTATCCTATACAGATAGATCCTCAGCATCCTTTGAATCTTTTGGAGTAAGATTTGAACATAAATGTTAGTTGCAAAGTATTAAAAAACTATTTCATTTTAAAATGCTTTAAAAAAACTTTTGGACTACACAGTAAAAAAAAAAAAAGTAAGTAAAAGTAAAAAGCTGGATTAAAAGTTGGTTGTAATGGCTATAAGTTAGTTGTGATGCAACGTTTTTATCCAATATTTTTAATGCTGTGTTTTATGGGCAGTGTTGAACTATTTGTGTAATAGAGGACTTGATCTTAAGAACCCATACATAAAATAAAGTCAAAATTTTATGGTTTGATTAAAATGTTTGCTTTATTGTGAAGCATTTTAGTTGTATATAGGGACATACAGTTAAGAATGTGTATAGGTACACACAGTTAAGAATATGTTTAGGTACATACAGTTAAGAATGTGTTTAGGTACATATAGTTAAGAATGTGTATAGATACAGGCAACATGAAAACTGTATATTATATAGGTTTCACGATGTCAGTGCCAGGAATTTGAAAGAAAGCATTATATAATTTATATTTTCAATAATCCATAATTATTGAAAAATAATTTTTGCTCAAAATTTTGTGAGTAATCAATACTAAAACAATCATGATATTTTGTGACATTTTTTACTAAACATTTTTTTTTATTCAGTCACAGCCTATTTAATTTATTTTGATACCTTATTTATTTTTATTTAATATAGTCGTATATATTTTAAAATTTATTAGCATACTTTTTTTTAACATTTTAAGTAACTTTAATGTTGTGTAACTTTTCATCTTAGCATTTTAGATTTTTTAATCTTTAGATTCTTGGTGAAGATGGTATAACACCTATAATGGAGTTGGCTGCGTTTGATGAAAATGAGATAAATGAATGGATATTTGCTATATGTCAAGTTGTTGCTGATTCAGTGAGTTTAAAGATGGTTTAATGATTTAAGAGTTAAATTTAGAATTTAATTATGATAAAGTGAGATAATGTGTGTTTGATATCTTAATCTTTATATATTAATTTAGTGTTAAAATTATCATTATGAGAAATAAGTTATAAGAGGTTTTATTGACATCTTGATTTCAACTAAGTTTATTAGTATATTGGTTTTAACTAAATTTATTGAAATTTTAATTTCAGCTAAATTTATTGACATCTTGATTTAACTAAATTTATTGACATCTTAGATTTAACTAAATTTATTGAGGTTTTTTTCGCTTTCTCACTGTTATTTTTTATTCTCTTAACTTTTATTTTGAATTTTGTTTGTTTTGCAACTTGATTTTTTTTTTTTTTTTTGTAAAAAAAAAAAAAAAAAAAGGCTTAAACACTATGATAATAATGTTTATTTAGAAAGAAGAAGAAAATAAATGATGATAATATTAAGATAATAAATCATTTGGATAATACGTTTGTATTATTTAAATATATATATTTTTTGTTTTGTGTTTTTTTTTAGAAGCACGACTGTGGTAAAAAAGCAGAAGAAGCTGGTAATCAAAGTAACCTACAACAATATGGGGATAACCTACTGCCATGCGGTGTTCTTATGACTAATGATAAGGTTTCTATTTTTATTTTATTTTTTTTAATATAAAAAATCTATTTGCACAATAATTTTTAAATCTAAATATTTTAGATTATAATCTTCAATCAGGATATCAAATCTGGATCTTTGATAGTGAAAGATTCCTTTTGTATTAAGGATATTACTCAAGTTTATGTAGATAACTGTGATAGAACATTTTGTGCACTGGTAAGAGTTTTGATAATTAATGATAATTATTGTTTAAATATAGCTTTTTGTCTTTTTTTTTGTTTTTGTTTTTTTAATTCTGATTCATTCTTAACAAGGCTGCAAGCAACCAAAGTTAATAAATAACTAAATAAATATTATATATGATATATTAAAAATTATTTTGATATTCTTATATCTATAACTGACAGTTTATTGACTTAATTGCATTTAGTCCCCCCACCTCTTCCCCCATTTCCTAAACAGCTTAAAAAAAACTTTTATGATAACAACAGTTGAATTATCATTTTCCAGTCCGCAATGACTCAATCACAATTAAACATCACCATGTAAAAGTATATCTATAAAACTGTTTATGATGCAATGTTATGTCTATTTTCTTTTTTACAAATATTACTGCTCCAACAGGCTATAATTTTTTGTACTAACTAACAAAGTTCATTCTTCTGTTTTCGTTCAATAACTCTGCTAAGTTGCAACCCTTCATACTGATATTTCTTTTGTGCTCTAAAAACTCAAATATTTTAATTTATTTTCACTAAATATTAGGCAGTATGGCATTCTCTCTCCTTCCATGTTTTTTTGATTCATATTGCTTGTACTTCTTAAAATTTTCTGTTAACTACGTTTTTGCACTTTATTCTTCATTTACTATGAACTCCTAACTCAAATAGTGGCTGCCAGCTGTTGGCAGTAGGTTTGTATTAAAAAGAATAGAATTAGAAAAGAAAAAAAATGTTATTTCTATTATACATTTTTATTTATTTTCAATTTCTATGCTTATAACTGTTATAGTGTTTTTAAAAGTTTTTTTATTGAATCTTCCCTATTTATTTTATAAAATAATATTGTTTTCGCATTTATTTTGCATTAGGCTTTAGAACAGAATTTTGAAGAAAACGTAAAAGTAGAAAAGCGAATAGTTTTGGCTAAATTTCATTCAGAGTTTGAATTAGGAAAGTTTGAGAAGGAGTTAGCCCCTCGCTGGAATATTCTTTATCAAGTAAGTTTTAAATTGGAGTTTGGATTAAATTAAGTTTTAAATTTTTTTATTTTAAAGTTTTGTACTCAGAAGGTTTTGAACTCAGAACTCATGAACTCAAAAGGTTTTGACATCATGCACAGTGTTTTTTTTTTATAATATTAAAAGCTGAAGAAAATTGTTTTAAAGTTGTTCAATTAGTAAAATACTGTATATAGCAAAGAAAACTTTGTAGTTTTCGCCTGATAATTTCTTGATCAATTATTTTTAAAACATTTTAAAATAAATTTTTTGTATGAACTAAAATTCAATTAAAAATGATTATGTATCAAAAAATTTAGAAAATGTTAACATAATATTGCATAATTACACTACAAAATAATTAAATTACTATTGCTTTGAAATCAGTTTTCTTTGTCTCTTTTTTTGACTCAAAAGTAACTTATTTCAAATAATACTTTGTCTATTATAATATCTTCTTTGTTTATTGTAATATCTTGACCTTAAGTTGAAAAGTACTCGAGAAAAACTGACGTTTGTTTAGTAATTCAGTTATTTGGCTGAGGTTCAGTAGTAAAAACCTCAGCCAAATAATGTCTAGAACCAAATTGGCTTTAAATATTTTCAATGTACAAACAAATATTTTATCAACCATTGATACCTATTGAGTAAATTTTTTGCCACATTAGTTGCAATTCGATTACATTTATATAATCAATTGCGACCCAAATTCATTAAAAAATCTGTAATTTAAAAAATATATTACGGTGACAAATATTATTTATTCCATATATATCCTAATTCGTTCAAAATGATGATAATATGTATATATAATAATGATAATACGTCATAATTTATTCAAAATAATGAAAGTAAATGTATTTGATTATTTTTAGGTTCCTTTGCAGTTTGTTCTTGTAAATGATGAGTTGAAAAAAACGATAAATCGCACTTTGAATAATCGAGACAATAAATATTTTGATATAGGACTTGAACTGTTAAGGGAACTAATAATAAACTAATTAAATATTTCTATAAACATATTTACAACCAACTGAAATGTAAACATATATGCAACCGACTGAAATGCAAACACATTTACAACCGACTAAAATGTAAACATTTACACCCTACTGAAATGTAAACATAATTACAAAAAACCTAAAGATCTAATTTTTTATAAACATATTTACCAACTGAAAAATCTTATTTTGAGTATAAGTGATCACAGCTTAAAGTTTGAGAAACAAAAAAAATGTTTATTTTTTTATTTAAAACTAAAAAATTATTTTTTTGATACTCTGATAATCTATTAAACTCGAAATTTGACTGAAATTAAAATTAAAATATTTTGTAAAGTACACATATCATTCTTTATGCGCCCATGCCTCTTTGTTGTTCTATATTAATGCTTGTTTTTTATATTTGATTTAAAAAGCTGTAAATATTAGTGTTTTTACTATCATTATATAGTTATCAATAATTTATTTTTAAAAGATTTCTGCTATTGGTTATACCAAATATTTTTCCATTTGTTTTTTTGTTTTTTTTATACGTGTGCATGCCACTAAATATTTTTATAAATATTTATATTATATAATAAATTATGCATGTGATATCGTGCTCTTTTTTAATATTTGTATTTTATTAGTTAATATAAGTCTTGGAAAGATGTATTTTTTTTTTAGCATTTTTATCTTTTTCTTTTTTTCCAAATAATTTACTCAAATATTGTTCAAACGAAAAATATTATACTTTATTATTTTTGACTTTTATTATTAATTCTTAATCTTATTAATTTAACTTATTTTACGCCCTCGTAATTTTTAAGTGATTAAACGATTTTTTCTTTCGTTATCTTTAATTGCCTGCTTTAATTATTACTAGACCAAGATATATGGTAATAAATTGGAAAAACAACAATAATAAAACAACAAAACAGCAACAATAAAACATGTTTTTTTTTTTTGCTCACATTCTGACGGACGTTCTACCCTTAATAAAATCTTATCTTTTAAAATCTCAAAACTATCCTATAGCACAACATTTTTTTTTTTTTTGGTGCCAAATTTTCAGTGTTTGTGTTACTTTGTGGTCTGTAAGTCAAAAGTGTGTAAGAAAGTGTTGTAAGCAAAAAGTATTTTTTGCTACATTCAGTACACAGTTGGCCAGGTGGTTAACAAAACCTAAAAAATAAATATTTATTATATTCAAACGGATACTCAAAGAAGACCATACAGGTCTTGTCACCGAGAACCGCTGTTGAAGAACTTGATCTTAGTTTAGATTTTAGGAAAAACAAAAATAAATAAACACAAGTTTTTAACTTTTTTAATTTATGATCTTTATTGCTGGAATTAAAGTACTAATTCTTCTGAACCGGATGATTCAAGCGAAAACAATAATATCATAGTATTCTTAATAAATAAATACGTCTCGCATCTGACTCGATCACTGATTCTTGTTACTCAAATCTATCAGTTACACTGATCTTAATTGTTAATTAATTAATAAATAAACGAAAATAATAAGAATATGATTGCACTAGGTACATCCAAATGCACTTCAAGATTGTCCAAAAGATTGTGTAGAAGAATTTAGATAGCCAAATGATGGTGTCATTGTGTGAGAAGCCATAATTATCAAATGTTGGTGCATTTACGTTAACGCTTTCGCCGACAAAAATGCTAAACCACTGTCAAAGGATGATTAACTTCCAAAAGTATCATACATACAATGTTTGCAGATACATCCAGTCACATACATCAAATTTTTTTTTGTATTTTTTTTTTTTTTTTTGTATTTTTTTTTTTTTTTTTTTGTATTTTTTTTTTTGTTTTTGTTTTTTTTTAATAATAATATATATATATTTTTTTTTCATTACAAAATTAAATTCAATATTAAAAGTATATACCGTTCGTAATACAAATTATTTACAAAATTACGAAATAAAATAAAAATTAAAGTAAACAAGTAAATAATAAATGCCTACTGTACAAATAATGTCAGTGGAACTTTTAACAAAATTCAAATAATGATGTTTAACTACAGTTTCTGACATAAACTTTAAATCAATATTGTATAAAAGTAAAATATAAATGAGTGTTGACAAAACTGGGTAAAATTAAAAGTATATAAATATATTTTCAATTGAGAATATTACTTTTTTTAGTTTTCGTTTGAACATATAATAACTCCATTTATGAGAAAAATCAAAATTTTTTAAAATTATTTGGTTCCATAAAAAAGCTCCACGAAAAGAAATGCAAAATTTACCAAAGTTTGTTTGAAATTTTGGTTGTTTAATAAAATTATCATTTCTTAAAGAATATTTGTTTTTTTCTTCTAAAGAATATAAATCAAAAAAGAAAGCTGGAGAAGAGTTGGTTTTACATTTAAACATAAAACAAAGAACATTGTAAACATTTACTTGATATATATTAAAAACATTCATGTTAAATAAAAGTGACCTTGAGTGAGTAAAACGATTTTTGAAATTTATAATACGTGCAATATGCTTCTGCTGACAATAAAGTGGCTTTAATTTACTTTTATGGGTACTACCCCATGCAATATTAGCATAATTAGTATGACAGTGTATGAAAGAGTAATATAGTTGAGTTAGTGCATGTTTGTTTAAAACGCTTCTTGCTTTATATAAAACTCCAATGCTTTTTGCAATTTTCTTGCATAAATGTCCCATGTGATTCTTCCATGATAGATTTTCATCAACAATGATACCTAGAAAATTTGTGAAAACTACTCTTTTTATTTGAATATTATCAATATGAAGAAGAGGCATATTACTTGGAAGTAAATGTTTTTTAAATCGTGGATGAAAGAAAATCCATTTAGTTTTATCAATGTTGAGTGAAAGTTTATTTAACTTAAACCAGTCAGATATTTTTATAAGTTCAATGTTCATATCATAAAAAAGTTTGTCGATGTTATTATTTGATAGGAATAGGTTTGTATCGTCAGCAAACATTATAGTTGTTAATTTTGAGACTTCATGGAGATCGTTAACATAAATTAGAAATAATAAGGGCCCTAGTATAGATCCCTGTGGAACTCCACAGGTTATATTTAGATAATCTATATTTAAATAATCTTGTGAAGAAGATCCGTCGATATAGACAAATTGTTTGCGATGTTTTAAATAGCTTTTTAGTAGTTTTAAAGCATTACCGATGATACCATAATGTTCAAGTTTTTTAAACAGTATTTCATGGTCAATTGTGTCGAAAGCCTTAGATAAGTCTATAAAGACGCCCAAAGTGAACTCTGACTTTTCGAAAGAATCAGTTATACTACGAGTAAGATGAACTATTGCATGTTCAGTAGAGTTATTTCTTTTAAAACCATATTGGTTTATGTAAAGTATATTATTAATAGCAAGATGATTAGATATTTGATTAAACAAAATTCTTTCTAAAATTTTTGAAAAAACAGAGAGGATATATATTGGTCGATAATTACTGACATTAGACGGTTCACCTCCTTTAAATACAGGCGTTATTTTGGCTATTTTCAATTGATCGGGGAAAATTCCTTGATTAATAGAACATTTAAAAACTTTAAAAAGAATATGTTTTATGGTATCGTATGAATCTATGACTATATTACAATTTATATCATCAGGACCAACTGCTTTATTAGTTTTAAGCATTTTAAAAGCACTTTCAAATTCTGAAGAAGATACTTCAAATTTATTTAAACTAGAGATTAATGGAAACACGTAATCATTTATTGGATTAATCATATTTGGAATATTTTTAGCTAAGTTTGGGCCAACAGACACGAAATATTTATTTAATTCTCTTGCAATTTGTTTGGGTTCATATAAAAATATACCATCAACTTTTATAGTGTTAGGTATAGAGCATAATTTTAATTTACTATTTCCAGTAATTTGACTTATAATTTGCCATGTGCGTTTTGAATTATGTTTATATTTTTCTAGTAAATCATAGTAATATCTTTTTTTAAATTTTTTTCTTTGACTTTCAAACATTTTAGCATAATTTTTATAAATAATTTTATTTTCTAGAGTTGGTTTTTTTAAGTACTTTATATACAGTTTTTGCTTTATTTTTGAGGATTTCCTAAGATCTTTATTGACCCATGGTGACTTTAAACTTTTATTTGTTTTAATAAACTCACGTTTTGGAAAATTTACATCATATATTTCATAGAAAGTTTGAAAGAATGTATCGTATACTTCATTAGCTTCAAACGAACTGTTTATATGATTCCAATTTATTAAAGATAATTGATCCTTAAACGACGCAAGATTAGCATCGGTGAAAAAGCGTTTGATAATGACTTTTTTATGTTGTTGTATTAACTTGTTGTCAATATTAATAGAGAAAAAAATAGGGAAATGGTCGGAAATGTCACTTTTTATTATACCTTTTTTAAGAGTTTCATTGAAGATATCAGTTGTTATAATGTTGTCAATTAAGGTAGCTGAAGTTGAGGTTACTCTAGTAGGTTTGTTAATTAGTGGAATTGATGTTCGAATAAGTCATCGTAAAACTTTTTAATGTTGCTATTAACGTGATATTCAAAACAATTTAAATTTACGTCACCAATTAGATAATTTAGTTTCTTTTCCTTAAAACTATTTTTTAAAATATCATTACACAAAAATGCATTAAAACTTTCAATATGGCCTGATGGTGGGCGATAACAGCAGCTTATAAGTATGTTTTTAGAATTATTGGTTAAAAGTTCAATTGTTAAAATTTCTTTATTGTCATCAGAAATACTCATCTCAGGCCTAATAAAAAACCGTTTATTTGCTTTACGCGCTAGTGGGATCATATTAAAACCTGGAAGATGGAGATTTAAATTAGATTTAGTGTCACCACGTTTCAGTTAAGCAAATTATACTAAATATATTTGAAGTTTCCTTTATTATAGTACACAAATTTTCAAAGTTTTTTTTAAGACTTCTAATGTTAAAATGAATAACATTTAAATGATCCCGAGAAATAAATTCTTTTATTTCTTTGTTATAGAAGTAGGAACAATTGTTTCGCAAAGCTCCTACATCATAAAAATAGTTTAAATCCGGATATGAATTAGTGTCAAGCACCAAGTCGTTAGATTGAAAAAAGTTAAATGATAACGAATCAAAATTGTTTTGATAATTAGAATCCATTTTTAAAAGTTAAATAACTAGAAATAAAAAAATTTATTTTAAAAATCGCGCGTAATAAGTTTGTTGTAAATAACTTTAGCAAATTTACCTTTGGCTCTTAATTCCTTCGCTTCTTTAAACAACTTTTTCCTAATTTCCATGGTTCTTTCGCTAAAATCTTCATTAACATATAGTTTTTCATTCCAAAGTTTTAATTTGATAAATTTTTTAAAAACTGCGTTTCTTTCTTTGTAATTAAGAAATTTTACAATTATTGTTCTGTTCTTTTTAACTCCTTTTTCTTTTTTTCCTGTTCGATGTGCCCTTTCAATCTCTAAATTATTAGTAAAACCAAACTTGGATTTTAAGACTTCCTGAATTTTTTTCTCGCTGTCTTCCCATGATTCGTTCTCGCTTTCTTCGACTCCATTAAACCTAAGATTATTTCTGCGACTTCGATCTTCAAGTTCGGCAAGCTTGTCTTTCACATCATTGTTTTTGTCATTAAACTTTATGTTATCTGTTGATTCGACATTTGAAATTGTGTTTTTTTTCAGTTCTTTCAATTCGGCTAGAGTTGATTCATACTTCTCACTTACAAAGTCGACTGCCTTTCTTAATTCCTTTATTTCATTTTTAAGAATATTATTTTCTTCTTGTATAATATTAAATTTAATTTCCATTTTATCGAATTTATCATTAAAAAGTTTTATTAATGTGTTTTCATGAATCTCCAGTAAATCCTTTATATTGGTTGCTGAAAATTTCGCCATTTTTTTTTTTTTTTTTTTTTTCTTCGATAAAATAATACGTCCGTTCAAGATCGCGGTTGAAACAAGTTATTTTCCTTTCAAGATCGCGGTTGATATTAGCGATCACTTTCCAATATTTATAAAAGTAAGAAATTTAAAAACCCCGTCTGATTGTAAACCAATAGCTATAAATTTGAAAAAACGCAATCTCAAAACAAGTAATACTAATGAATTATCAATTAGATTAAAACAAGAAACGTGGTCCAATGTGTATAAAAGTCAGGACACTAACAAAGCTTTCAATAATTTTTTAGATAAACTTTAAGAGTGCTTTAATGAAACCTGTTCAGAAGAAGACATACATATTAAGACAAAAGCAGTTAGCAATAGTTGCTAACTGCTTTTGCTTTATCCATCCACACTGTGGATACTGTGGATGGATAAATCCTCAGTTGCTAACTGCTTTTGTCTTATCCGTGGATGGATAAATCAATGATGAAATGCCCAAAGAAGAAACAAAAACTCTAATAAATTCCTAAAAAATAAAAACGGTGATAATGAAAAAAATTACAAAAAGTATAAATACTTTTACCGAAATCTTATTAAAAATGCTAAAAATAAGTACTACAGTAATGAAATCAGCTTTCACAATATGCAATGTTCTCAATTCATTTATGTATTGAGATCATAAGTGTATTGAAAACAATAAAAATGACCACATACTTTAGGCAGAGATTTCGACTGTTGGTGTTTGACGGTTTTACCTGTTTTAAAATAAAAAGAGTTGGATTTTTCGAAGAATTTAACGAGATTCCAAATCTGTAACAAAAAAAAAAAAAATCAAAAAAATGTCTTGCTTTGATCATACACCTTTTTTTTTTAAAGAAAAAAAGATTAAAATACGACTAACGAGGAGGAACAATTATAATTTAATATAATAATTACTTGATTAACATTTTTATAACATTAGTGAGCTAAGTTTAACTAAATCTTAATTATCCAAGTAACCAAATATAAATTAAACGGATTAAAGGTTCAAAAATGCCAAATCAATGATGAGAGAGTTAAGGTGGTAGAGCACAATTAAAATACTAATTTTTGATCAAAATATGAAAATATATATTTTAAATTTATCTTATTCAAAATTTTATCCTCTTTCGTTTGATGTATGTATGTAACAGAATTTATTTTTGGAAATGTGATAAAAAATCTATATTTGCAATATTATTTTCCTTAGCAACGCCATAGCAACCACAAACATACCTTTGTTTACTATATGTTAAGCAAATCTTGCAAGCTAATTTGTCATTTTGTTGTGTCTATTATGCTTTTATTTGTTTATTTATCAACTTTGCGTATAAAGAAATTTAAATATCGAGAGTTTTTTTGAAAACCAATTCAAAGATTCATATTGATACCGTTTTATTTAACCCTATTGTTGTTAGTATTGGATTAAAGATTTATTATTAATTAGTAATAAATTATAAATAAGAAATAAGAAAATGAACTTTAAAAAAAATTAAACAATATATTTGTTTTTGCAAAAACGTTTGCAAAAACAAATATAGCTGTTTTTGCAAACGTTTTTCTGATTACAGATACTCCAAATCCTGAGAGACACAAATTGTTTCCAATATTTGCATCAAAATGATTCATTTTGATGCAAATATTGGACTCCAAGTAAAACTTATAAACCAAATATATCTATTCCTCTATCAATCAAAAATCTCATTACACCCATTTTATGGTATATTAATAATAATAACACAACGTGTTTAGTGAAGAGCTTCTTTAATATTATTAGAGAAGCTATTTTTTATTCACCAAACATTTTGTGAACGCATAATTATTTTCAAAAAAAACAAAACATTAATTTACAGACAAATATATACATTTATCAGTTAGTTGGAAATAAGCAGTGCAAGAACATCAGCCTTTAGATATTCATCATTTTCCGAGTTGTACTTTTTGAAGCTCGTAGAAGTAATAAGGCAAATCTAATTAGGTGGTTGAACTGTTTTTAAATACGATTAACTCGAGAAAGTTTTGCGTTGTGATCTAATCTAGCATTGTAGATTTTTTTGTAAAAGGCTTCTTGAAAATCTTTGAAGAAAATTCAAGTCCCATGTTCAAAAATTTGAATCCCATGTTCAAGGAGCTTGTATACAGTTGAAGTGATTATATATCAGTAATAATTATCCACTATCAGATTGCAGTTTGAAATCCGACCAATTTACCTTTAGGACTGTCCTCAATCTGAATTAAGTAAAGGTATTGTTAGTTAAGGCATAATTTGTAAATAATTGTCAAATATTGTAAAATGTTCAGATCTTGGTACAAATGCTCATCTGATTTAATGTCTAATATTTTTAACTCTTTTACTTTCAACTTTCACTTTTCCGTAACCACACTAAGTAGCCTTCATTTTGACTACAAACCACAATACAAAACCACAATACAAAAAACACTTTACATAAACGGTTAATATAGATCTTCAAATACAGTATTATAAAATAATTATAGTTATTATTGATGTTCATCGGATCACATACATAACAGAAGCTATGTCCTCCACATAAAAAGTTATAGATAGCGAACGATTTTGTTGAATTTACTTCTATTTGTTTTTTTACATTTCTAGCTTAAGATTTATATTTAATAGTATAAGAAATTTAATACTTTATATTTAATATTTAATAGGATATAAAATGTAATACTTGTATATAAAAATAAATAGTTTAAATGAACTAGTTATTTCCAAAGAAATACTAACTCCCCAACAAACGCAATTACAAAATCTAGATGTCTTTAATTAGATATTGATTTAAAATAAATAAAAATTTAACCATATTTACCTTTAGATACATGACACACTTTTAAACATTACTCAATAAAGTGCAAAAAAAGTGGAGCTAAAATTTTGCATGTTAATTTTCTATACTATAAGTGAGGTGTTGATACAAAAATTAGGGTGGAACTAGATGGAACATTTTTTGTAGGCAACTTTTTGTAAATATGAGTAAATTTTTTTTTTATAAACCACTAAAAAAATTGTTTTCTAGTTTTAAAACTAAATTTTTTATAACTTTTTTGTTTAAAAAATATTTTCCATATTTTAAGAGATAAAATAACATTAATAAGTAATTATATTTTTGTTCTAAGACTTTTGACTGGTGTAAAAGGTTATTTTAAAAACATGTCAAATTGTCCGCAAAACTCGCTTTTAATTTAAAAAATGTTTTTATTGCCGAAAAAAACGTTATATTACAGCAAAATGAATAATTTTTAAAATAAATTTTTTATCAAATAAATAACCTTCATGTTTTAAAAAATAGATTTTGAAATTTTTAATCTAAAAAATTGATTTTTTTTAAAATTCAATTTTGGACTCTTTTTAAGGTTTCTGAGGTACTGTGTGTCGTAGAGACGTCCTAATTTAACCTAGTCATTCTTTTGAAAGTTATATAAAAATGCAATGATACAATGCAATGAATACAAATGCAATGAAAAATACAAATGCAATGAAAAATGCAATGATATGCAAATATACAATACACACCTTAGACTTGATTTAATCTAGGCAAGAGAAAGTAGAAAGAGAAATCAAAGTAAATTAAGTGTAATTTGATATATTTAAAATAAATTATTAGCTTTACAAAAACTTTTTCAAACAAAGTTACACTTTCCAAATTAAAATTAATATATTCTGTAGAATATAATCGATAGTATATTATAAATAAAAGAAAATTACTAAAAATATGCAAAATAAATAGAAAATATAACAGTTGATTATAGTTTAAAATATTGTAATAATACATAACATATAAACTATAAAGATTAAGTTCATGCATAGAAAAGTTTTGTATTGGATATCTCAATTTCCAATTTTTACTTTCAAAACATTAAGTTCATATTAACTTTTACATTGTTTCAAACTTTCTTCTGGATCATTAGAGAACTGTGCAGTTCTATCTACCAACATGTTCTTTATTTCAGCAAGTTGGAACATAGCTTTTCTCTGAAACTCTGAAAAGTAAAATATATAAGTGAAGCCATATAAAGCATAATACTTTCTATATATGGTTGGATAGAGGTAGATTTAAATTAAATAATGCAAAAAATCTCAAGTTTCATGCTTAACCTTTAAAAAAGATATAAACAAGTAAAGTTCAAGAAAATTATAAGGTTTTTGTCTAACGTCGATAACTTAAAAAAATTGCTACCTATGACAAAGTAGAGTTAAAAGAAAGTATACATGAACATGTATAATGCATATATATATATATATCAAGGAGGGGGGGGGGGGTTATTAACAATATATCTTACTAAAATATATTGTTAAAAACATAACATGCGTAACCAAATTATCTTTTAAATTTAAATCACACATGATATTTTATACAGAAAGGAGTTAAAAATTTTATACAGAAAGGAGTTAAAAATTTTATACAGAAAGGAGTTAAAATTAAGAACAATCATATTTATTATACAGAAAGGAGTTAAAGTCATATTAAGAACAATCATATTTATTATATAAACTACATAAAATAAATATACAAGTGTTTTGCAGTAAAATTGTATCATTTTCTCTTGAGAAATAATATCATAACATAACAAAGGTGGCAAAAACCATAAATGGTTTTTGCCACCTTTGTTATAAAAAATAAAAAACCTAATTTTTCCTATAATTACAAGCGTGGTAAGAAATGAAACAAATATTAAATAAAAACAAAGCGAGCATAAATAAATCCATTGACCCATTCGAGACCACTTTTGATTAATAAGTTCAACAACAAGGGGATGACTCAACAACTTTCCGCGTTTATATTTTACCATAAGCAATGGTGCAAAAATTAATTTTTTAGGATTCATAGGGTCCTTATCTATAAATTCAAAATTCAACTGAATAATCAGAATTTTTGTTATCGAGTTTATCACATATAATGCAGTTATCTCTTTTCCCCAACTTCTGGAGTTAGCTCTATTACTTTTTTCATGTTGTGTTCCACTCTTGTTCATGTTAAGAAGTGCTTCACGCTATTTTAAAAAAATTGGTTAAAATCACAGGTTTATGTTTTAGTAAGTTTTAGTAATTAATTTACCACAAATTAATGAAAAAAAAAAATTTTTTAATTAATAATTTATAAAAAACAAAAAAACAATCAAAATAATTAAAACAACAAACAAAGATAAAAACCCTTCATGCTGCATGATTGTCATACATGCATCTTTTAGTAAATTCTCAACTGCAAGGTACAAGCAATTTTTATTTTCATTAGTTTGTAACTGAACATTAGCTCCATTTTCTAGCAATAAATTTATGCATTCAACATGGCCACCAGTTGCTGCATGATGAAGAGGTGTATAACGATTTTTGTCAGAAGCACTAACATAACCTTTTTTGAGCAGAGCATTAAGCAAAACGTAAAAAAAAAAATATTTTTTTACGAACATTTTTCTTTACTATTTCATGCAGCATAATCCAAAGAACTCCAGTCAAGGTTATCACGTAAGCTAACATTAGCGCCAGACACAATTAGTAGCTTAATTACATCCCTACCAAGTTATATTAAATAAAAAACTAAAATTTTAGCTGTAAGAACATTAGATAATATTGTTATTTAGATAAATTATAATATTACTATTGCAAGAAAACAATAATGTTAGTTTTAAAAAATCAATAAAAAAATTACTCTAATTGTGTGGGTACAAGGGTAGGATGCGCTTAATTCTTAACAATTAATAGTTATTTTAATTAAATAACAATTTTTTTATCAAACCTGGCACACAGATTCTATAGCTCAGAGTTTTTGTGACTTTAAAACAACTATATCTTGCAGCCTTGTTGGAAGCAAAGATGTTTAAAAAAAAAAATAAAAAAAATTTATCTAAGTTTATATATCTGTATATATATCTTTTATAAGTTTATATATCTGTAAATAGTTTTATGAAATCCTTTATCTTATTTACACATTTTTAAAAAAGCAATTTTTTACAAAAATATTTTTATGACCTCACCAGTTATTGTATCACCCTTATGAATATTTGTTATTTATCACCCTTATGAATATTGTTGTTTTATTTTCATATTTTTAATACATCCTGAAAATTTATTCTAAGTTTTTCTAATTTGTTTTTCACACCAGCTATAAAGTATCATTTCAGTCACATATGCATTAATTACTTGCCAATAAAATATAAGTAAATTTATCATATAAATTTGAATAATAAAAAATAACAATGAACTTATTTTAAGTTTAAACAGTTTTTAGGTTTGTTAACAAGGAATGTGTAATACATTATTGCTACTGTCCATTGTTTCAAACCTAAGCAGTTTGGATGGTTTCCATATGTAAGAGCACAGTAGTGGTAACAGGTATTAAGTATTATAATTAAAAAACACATTATAAAACCACCATATAACATTTTTATATTGATAATTTTAATTTATCAACTAATAAAAAATGGTTAAAACACAAAATTTTTATATATGAGTTATTACTTTGATGTGGTTTACTGGTTTGTGAAATTTGCCTTATTGATGGGAATGAAGACATTCTAAATGGAGATAGAATGGGGATGGGGAAAGACTGGAAAGGAATGGGTTAGTGGTGGAAAAATTTATGTGAGGATATGGTGAGGATGAAGATGATTTCTGTGCCTGTATCTCTAGATTGAAACTTCTTACTTACAAAGCGACCGCTCTGCCACTACACTACTACTGCATTTTTACAAGCTAATATTTTAATTATTTTATTACTCTGTTTTTCAGATTAGAACTGAGTATTTTTGTTGCAAAATTCTAGAAAGATTATAATACAATAAAAATAAGGGTTTCAGAATTTTCATATTCTCAGGAAAGTTGCTTTAATTACAACTAAAGAGCCCCAATATAGGGTCCCAGGCCCCAATATAGGGTTTAACATCATTACCTTCTGATCATTTTTATATTTTTAAGAACATTTTTATAAACACTTAATTATGTTGTTATGCAGATAATTATATTGTTACGTAGAATTACCTGTGATCATTTAAAACTACCAAATGAAGTAGAGTCATTCCACAAGCATCAGTTGAATTTACTTCACCAGGAGAGATAGAAACAAGAGGTTTTACACAAGTTAAATGACCGTTTTCAGGTGCCAAATGAAGAGGTATCTTTTCTTGATTATCACCTATATCGATGGGAGCATTTTTGTTAATTAAAAGTTGCAATGCCTGTAGTTTAAAATAAAATAAAAAACGAATTTACTAAATGAAACTATTGTTACTAAATTTCTTGGCAATACAAGCACAAATAAAAAACAAAGATACAAATTTAAAATATTAGAACTATATATATATATATATATATATATATATATATATATATATATATATATATATATATATATATATATATATATATATATATATATATATATAATTAAAAATATATAAAAAATTATTTTATTTATTCTAAATTATTCTAAATTATTCTAAAAATTTTATAACTTCTATTTGATTTTCTTTAAGTACAATATGAACAGCATTCTTGTTGTTAATATCAGTTGAATTTATTTAAAAACTTTGACCAATTAGATACTCTATAATTTCTAAATGTCCTTTCCATACAGCACATATACCAGCAGTATAATTTTTTTTATCATTGACATCAAGTATGGCTCTTTTCTCATCTAACAATCTGATAACTAAAATTATCCGAATTGACATTTATAATATTCAAATTACAATCACAAGAATTTATAACATTTCAAAACAACTACAAAAATTACAATTCACAAAATAACTTCACAAAATAACTATAAATTTATAGACCTACGTAAATTTAGAAAATTATTTAAAAAAACTCATATGGATAATTTACCTGTGCAGAGGAGTCATCAAATCTTTATCAACTGCTTGAATATTAGCATTATAGATTATAAGCATATTGACTATCCTTTCATGTCCATTGATTGCAGCCAAGTTTAACCAGTATTTGTTTGTGAATTAACATTAAGTTGAACCAGTATTTGTTTGTTAATTAACATCTCCACCAATTATTATTAACTTTTTAGTGATTTTCATATTTCTTTGCAATATGCAAAGGTGTATAATTCTTATTAGTTCTACTATTTACATAATCATTTTTTTGTTGACTTTTTTTTTTATTACCTTTTTTTTATTACTACTTTTTTATTATTACTTATTATTACTTTTATTTTACTTTTGTTATGACTTGTCTCATGTATGACTATATATATATATATATATATATATATATATATATATATATATATATATATATATATATATATATATATATATATATATATATATATATATATATATATAAATGTAATAATAAAAAAAAAAGTCAATTATTATCATTATATATAACAAGTTATATACAAAATAGTACAGCTTTAACTAACTGAACAATTTTAAATGTAAGTTTAAGTGGTATTGTGGTTTACCCTCCTCCGGCTACTTGTCATAGAGGCCACGTACCAAGACCCGTGAAGACCAGTTCAGCTCACTAAAGAGAATCATAATCTACTTTGATGGACCAAGAGGAAGCGAGTTTAAGAAGAACGAAGAATATTTTAGTGACAGACAGAAGAAGTTGAGTTAAAAAGAAAGAATATAGATAGTGGACAGATATTGCACTATATGTTTTGTAAAACATAAAAAACATATTATTTATGTTTCGCACAAACAAATTTATTTAACATAATTAGATAGGAAAAATATTGAGACGGCATTTGAGATGTAATTAAGCCTTATTAATTAAGACGTAATTACATGATAAAAGAATAACCAATATTGATTACTCTTTAAATATAAAGAGTCTCATCTCAATTGGTTACTTGGTCACAAAAAAAGTTTCAACTCAAAACATTGCATCTCAATTGATAACTATTTATATATAAAGAGTAACCAATTGAGACATAATATTATATCTCAAATTGAGATGCCAATTAATGCAATTACGCCTCATTAATTAAGACGTAATGTTATGTAAGAAAATCTTGAGGCCTAATTAAAATCTTGTTTTTTTTTACGCTACATTATGTCTCAATTGGCTACACTTTTGTAAACCATTCGGCTTTTAAAAGTGTAACCAATTGAGACATAACATTGCAAATTGAAACAAAAATTTTTTTTTGTGACAAAGTAACGAATTGAGATAAAACTATTTTAAAATAAAAATAAAATATGGGTCTAATTTTTTATTATTGCCGTAAAGTTTATAATTGAAAACATTTGGTTGAAGAATTGTATAATAGTAGAGTATAATGTAGTATAATGCAAATTTTTGGAAATTTTGGTGTAAAGCAGTAAAAGGAAAAAATTAAAAAATTAAGTTTTATTTTAAATTTTCAACATTTTTATTTATATGTTACCATATGTTATTTAAAATTCTTATGCTATTTGCATTTTTAAACAAAAATAATTAACATAACAAGATAGAGCAAGTTCAAAAAATTATCTTTCAACAACTTTGCTATACCATATCATCAAACAATATTGTTGTGATGATACGGCACTGTTATCTAATACTATTCTACAACTTTACCATCAAAAACTGTTATCAAATATTGATGTTCGTTATCATTTCAACATTGTTATCAAATATCAATAAATATTGTTATTAAACATTATCATCTAACATTGTTATCAAATATCAATGAATATTGTCATAAAAAAATGTCAATGAGTATTGTCATACAATAAAGTTATCAATAAAAAAAATATAATAGTTAAGGTTATGATTAAAAAATACAGTTGCAACCTATTTATTGTATTTGAAATCACAATTTCACTGCTAATAATGTGAGTAAAACAAGAAGAAAAAGTATTAAAAGTTTTTCAACTTTTAGGTATTATCTTAAATATATAAGCTAAAATCATAGCATACCACATACAGCCAAAATATCAAATACTCACTTTTTGTATTAATGCCAAAATTGAGTATTTGAGTTTTTATTCCAAATATTTTTCCAAGTCTATACCAAACAAATAATGAAATCAGTTACTTACACATTTTAAATTTTATTTTCAGAGTCCTGTGCACTAAAGCTTATTTATTTTAAAATGTTTTATTTCAGAAAAAAAATAGTCATTAGCAACTACTAGTAGTATCAATGTTATTATACGCTGAGTTTCATAGTTTTTACTCAAAGTTTTATAAGCTTTTTTTTTTTTTGTCGTGACCGCCATAACCGTGACAGTCGTAACGAAAAATCTAATGCTTAAAAACAACAAACATAACAACACAATCAATGATGTAAAAAAGAAAGTATAAATAATCATTAACAACTATATATAATATGTTAAAAAAATGCAATAAAACATTATCAAAGTTTTCAATTATGGATTTACGGTACAATTTTTAACACTACACAAAGGGACTGTAAATAAGTATCAAAACACATTTATACAACCCTTTAAACTTTAAAACCATGATATGGTATGATAAAATGATTTTTTTAAATAACTTTTTTGCTTAAAAATATTTTAAAATAGTTAAAAAAAAAAAGTTTTGGAGTTTTCACAACTGTGTTTTTACAAATTTTTCACTTTTCTTTTTTCCTCGTTCTTGCGGAATTGCCCATATATATACATACATATATATATATATATATATATATATATATATATATTTTTTTTTTCAAGCTCAGATGCCCCCTGCAAGCAATCAGAGGGAGTTGGCTTCTTATCGTGACAAGAACAAATGGTAGTATCATCTGCAAATATATATATATATATATATATATATATATATATATATATATATATATATATATATACATACATACATATATATATATATATATATATATATATATATATATATATATACATATATATATTATATATATATATATATATACATATATATATTATATATATATATTATATATATATATATATATATATGTATATATATATATATATATATATATATATATATATATATATTAGACTGCTTCATTTTGAGGTCATGAAAAAATTTTAAGTACCATGGAGTGTTATCTGCTGCGTTGACCCTTATTTTATTAGTAGAATTTTTTTTTTTTAAAATTTTGACCACTTTTAGGGTCAAGTGCCTCAAAAGTCATATTTTAGGCTTTTTTACCCTTTTTTAAGCCCATTTTTCGCACGTTTGAGCAAGTACTAAAACTCAAAAAAATTGAATTTTTTTTTTTTCTAGAGTTTTTTCTAAGTTAGAATAAAAAAATTAAAATGCATGGTAATTTTATTTTATTGAAATAATTTCTGTAAATTTATCTACAAAAACGCAAAGTTATGCAGATTTTTACCGAATATTACGCATTATGGATATGTTAAGCCATTTGGAAAAAAAAACCTAACTATGTTGCATAAAACATCTATATATAGCATTAAAGGTCTATAAAAACTTAATTATATTGCATGAAACTTCATTAAATTACATGAAACGAAAAAAATCTAATTATATTGAATAAAACATCTAGCAATTTTGTTTAACAAATTTCTTTATAATTAAATTTCTATAAAATTTATAATTATTTTTTAAAAATGTTATGTTATATTTTTATATTGTTTTTTTTTTTTTTCTTGGATTTCTTAGTTTTTCTTCCATACTTCCTTTTGTAATTATGCAAAAATAAAAGTGAATCCTGTCTTTTCTCTTTTCGGGCAATATCAATTTTGTCTTTTATGAGTTGAAACAACTGAAAGATTAAAAACTGCCTCCTGAAATTTTAAGTAGAAATTGTTGCAAGTCCAATATTCTGGAGGAGTTTCATCCATTGACAGTCACTTTTACTTTGGCCTATCATAAGGAACAATAGCCACGAATTTTCTGTGACCAAATGAACTAAGCTGGGAGACTTCGGTCCACTGAAGTCTAAAGAATTGAGGACCTCTATGTTAGCACTTATTTGGGCTAACGGATATTCATCCATACTATGAAATTCATAGCTGTATAGTTTTTGAGCAATATTACCTCTTTCTTTACATTTTTCATCAGCTAGAGCTAGTACAATAAGGTAAGGGTCTAGAAACCATGTGTGGCGTTTGATAGATTTAATGACTGATTCTGCCCCAATCAAATTGTACTCCTTAAACCTATTCATTTGCCAAAGCGCTCTCATATCCTGGATAAAACAAAAAACTGTTAATCTTTTTTTTAAAAAATTTTTTTTCTTAGATTACTTTTAATAATTATCAAAACTTTTTATTCAAACTAGAAACCTTTTATATATATATATATATATATATATATATATATATATATATATATATATATATATATATATATATATATATATATATATATATATATATATATATATATATATATATATATATATATGTATATATGTATATATGTATATATGTATATATGTATATATGTATATATGTATATATGTATATATGTATATATGTATATATGTATATATGTATATATGTATATATGTATATATGTATATATGTATATATGTATATATGTATATATGTATATATGTATATATATATTTCATACTTTTTAAGTTGGTACCTACCTGATTCGGAGCAGCAGTGGATAGTTCAGCTTTGAGAAACAAGGTAGTATAGAAAACAGAGACAAAAGTTGCCACTTCAGTAATTTCATGCTTCAGCCATTTTTCCAGACTAGGTATAGCATCCATCATAAGTTGGAGTTTTAGGTAGTAGATACCTATAAAAAAAGTCTTTTTTTTTTAATTTTTTAAAAAGACTAATATTTGATAATGTAAAACAAATTCCTTTTTTTTGCAACTTGAACCTTTTATTATCATGAACCTACAATTCCTTACCTTTTGCCATAAAGCGGGCATGGTGGACTGCTCCGGGAGTACGAAATTTGTACCTGTCCTCAGAAAGTACCATAAGTGTAAGCTCTGCCAGCTCAATGTAGTCCTTCCTTGTAGCCCCATCCTAAAAATGAAATAAAATAATAAGTATTTAGGTATAATAAAATAAACCTATTTATATTTTAGTATAATAAAGGATAATAGAATTAAAAAAGAAAAATTTATAAAAATATTTCAACATAAAAGTACATACTACATAGATACCTACAAATTCAGATATCTAGTTATTGGCTACCTTTTTTAGAGACCCACTGGTGATAATATCTCTGCAGAACGTTATGCTTTCATGCTTTTGATGACCAAGCCATGTTTCCTCTGGAATAGTCAATCTTCTCAAAACCTTATTTATTCAAAACGTAAAAAAAAAATTCAAAGAACTCAAAATTGGAAAAAAAAAGTTATTTGGAAAAAATAATATTTCACAAAATGGTAGCTAATTTTGTAAAAACCTACCTGGTTCTCTGCATCAAGATCATTCCATGCTGATTTTAAAGTTTTAAACAGCAGATTATCTGGTCCAGAAGTAATGCTACTTTGATAATTTTTCCAGAAATGTGTTATGTGTAGCTCATTGACATGATGTCGGCATGCAATAGATAGAACTGGTCGTTGAAAGACTTCATTTACCAGTAAAGATACAGTTCCATTTTTTTTTCCAGCGTTGATTCTGCTAGTATCAAATGTTACAGCTTGTATATTGTCTGTAAGGTTAAAGCAATTTAAGATATCTCTGATTGCATTTTTTGATTTTTGCTAGTTCCAGAAGAAATGGGTGGAATTCCCAACAGGTGCGTTTCCTTGTTAGCGTTTATTAATATTGCTAATCGATCTTGTTCCAATTTTTTCCCATCAGTATATTCATGACATACTTTTCCATCAAAATGGAGTTGAACTAAAATGTTCTTATTGATTTTTCTTAAACTTCTTAAATCATCCTTGATCCTCTTTGATTCATCATAAATGACCTTATCTGCAGCGCGTAATGCTGTAGAGGTTGAAGATTTAAATTCAGCTACATTTCCACCCGATTTAGCGATTATACTATTAATCATGGAAGCATGCTGCCTATGACTTATTCCTTCCCCTACAGCAATATCAGCAGTTCTCTTGAGAATATCTTTTGGAAGCATAACAGTATTAGTTTTTTTGACTTTTTTCTTTAACTCTGGATCTGGGTATGAAAAATCATCATTACTTTCATCTTTCTCCGATCCATTTGAGCTGAATTCACTCTCTGACATGGTTTCATGCAAATTTGATTTCCTTTTAATTTTGGATAAACTCCTGTTTACAGAGTAAAGGTACCTTGTATCGATTCCACCTATTCTAGTTTTTCTATCTCCTAATTGGTCTAATAAAAATGCAATATCTTCAGTCTTGTCTTGATCCTTTCGTTTCCTATCAGCTTTAATGATTGCAACCAGAGTATCGAGGTCAGGTGCAATCAAAAAGATACTTTTCATCAGAGTTAAAAACCTCCTCCTTTTTTCAATCTCTGATAAAGTTTGTCTTGCTTTTTTTTTTTTTAACAGTTTCCAGGTTCGGATCAGCTTCTCTATCTTTATACTAAAAAATGTGATTTATAGGTTTGGTATATTTTACAACACACCTATTTCTGTTTATTAACTTAACAGCAGACATTAGTTATATTAATATTTTCCACTAATTAGTAATAATATATAAATAAAAAAAACATATACAGTCTGGTACCTACCTAATTGTTTGTAATTGTAAAATCTGAAATCCACCCTTCAACCAAGGTGTAATTAACTTTGAAAGAGTGCAGCAAATATGTTTTTCATTATGGCAGCTGATTTCAAAGTTTTTTGTCAATGGACAGTGGATAATTCTACTTTCTTTTTGTTTTGGGTACTTCTCCTTCAAATGCAAGAAGTATTGCAAAACCTCTTGCTTTGTAGCAAACTTGTCTTTTGGTAAGGATGACCTGGATTCCCTTACCAAAAAATGTGTCAACTTTTTTCTTACTTTTCCCTGACATGAATAAATCGGTAGTAAATAGCTTTAATTAGTATATGGAGTAAGTATATCATAAGAGTAATCTATATTTATTTCACGCGTTTTTTTAATCAAAATTAAATATCGTTTTTGTTAAAAAGTAATTTGCATAACATGTTTAAGCAAATATGCAACATTTTTAAATTAATGCGAAGCGCAACAATTGCATAACTTTGCGTTTTTGTAGATAAATTTACAGAAATTATTTCAATAAAATAAAATTACCATGCATTTTAATTTTTTTATTCTAACTTAGAAAAAACTCTAGAAAAAAAAAAATTCAATTTTTTTGAGTTTTAGTACTTGCTCAAACGTGCGAAAAATGGGCTTAAAAAAGGGTAAAAAAGCCTAGAATATGACTTTTGAGGCACTTGAGCAACCCCTAAAAGTGGTCAAAATTTAAAAAAAAAAAAATTCTACTAATAAAATAAGGGTCAACGCAGCAGATAACACTCCATGGTACTTAAAATTTTTTCATGACCTCAAAATGAAGCAGTCTAATATATATATATATAACAATTATATAACATATAAAACTTAGATTATATATAAATATAAGTGATCACCAAATTGTTATCTTCTACATTAATGTTAACAGATTTTAGAAATCTTTATTACAAGTTTTTTATCACCACATCTACTTGCATAGTGCAATGCTGTGGTTCTTTCAATTTCTGATCAAGACATTTGCACCTTTTTCAAAAAGAAATACAGCAGCATTTGTCTTTTTATATCTAAATATTATTTAAAAGATATTATATATATAATTAATAGTACAAGTCTCCAAAGACCACTATTTCATATTTCTATAACAAATTTTAATAAAAATTCGAACTCTAGAGTATAAATCTTAAGATCTATCAAAATTTTTTTTTATTTCAAAACTTTATTTATTTCAAAACACTTTTTTTAATTTTTATTTTGATTAAATACTCTCTTTTCACATTTAAAATAATTACAACCAACTCTACAAATTATATAACCCTAAAAATAATTCTTATTACACCAAATATTTTAAACGTCTGGCCTAATATTATATATAAAAAAATTCATTAAAATAAAATATTCGTTCAACTTACTTTGCTGCCAATAGTAAAGGTGTATTACCATCATCTCTATCTGGACTATCAATTAAAGCCCGATTTTCAAGCAGATACCACAACATTTGCGTTATTATATTGTGCAGCTAAATGTAAAGCACTAAAACCTTTCTCATTTAATTTATCTCTAACATTAACAAACTCCTTTGATGATATAAAGATGGTTATATTACTATAATTAACTAAATAAAAATGAAATATAATATATAATAAATAAATAATAATAAGAAAAATCATTATAAAAAGTATACTTTTAAAATAATAAATTTAATTATGTATAAATAAAAATAGAAATTAAATAAAAATTAAAAAAAAATTAATATGATAAAAATAGTATAGAAAAAGTAAAAAAATAATACATAATGGGAACATATATATATATATATATATATATATATATATATATATATATATATATATATATATATATATATATATATATATATATATATATATATATATATATATATATATATATATATATATATATATATATATACATATATATATATGTATGTATATATATATATATGTGTGTGTGTGTGTATATGTGTGTATGTATGTATATTAACTATATTAACGTATGTATGTATATTAAGTGTATATATATTTACTAATTCCTTAAGGTAAACAACAAATTTTGATAAAAAATTGTAATAAAATAACTGTGTATATGTATAAATTAATGCAGATAAAAAATTCAATACAAACATTAGTTTACTTTTATAAAATGTTGATAATTAGAAAATAAACTGAGCAAAACATTATTTATTGTTAACTTTAAATTAAAAAGAAGTAGTTTATAATAAATTAATTTTCGTCAATCTTCAGAGCAATAATTATATCTTCTGTTATCTCATAATGCTCTCTCACCAACATTTTTATTGTTTCTATTTTTTTTTTTAGGCGATTAATCTCAATATGTTCTAATTCTAAATTTCTTGCAATGTTTGTTTTCCATTTGAATCTACTTTTCTGCTTATCTTTTAAGGAATTGAAGTCAGAAATACCAAACGATTGAAAAAAACTAAAAAAATATATTTTAATATTATACGAATAGCTAGCTATAGACATTTTTTTTTATATCTAACAATTCATATCTCAAATTTAACTTTTATACTTAAAATTTATATATAAATTTTTAAATCTAAAAATTAATAATTAAGAATCAGTAAAATAAGAATAACTTCAGAGCCAAGAGGTTCAATAGATAGAGATAAGCAACATTTGTAAGGAAGAAGGCATGAACGTCCTGGTTGAATGTGGGAATGTCCCAGATAGAACTTTATAAATACATGGCCGGATACCAGATAATCGAATAATAGAAAACTATCAGCCGGATATTTTCTTAGATATTTGTATGGAGAGATGTTTTCATTACAAAACCTTTAATGTGTATTTTGATGTCAAAAATTTTAAAATTTTGCCATGGTAAAAGTTCTAAAATGAAAAGCTTTGTTTGCAAACCTTTTAAAATAGATAATACCTCTGAATTGACAACAGCTTGTATTCTATGTAGAAACCAAATAAGCAGGAAATCTAATAATTCTAGCCAAAGATTGTTTTTTACAACTTCACTGCACAATCATCTTAAGAAATTTCATTTAAAACTGCATGAAAAGAAAATAAAAAATAAAATTTAACCTTCAACTCTACAAAAACTAACTGTTCAAAAGGTTAATTATAAAGAAAATGTGTGAAATGAAAAAGCAAAAGTCTATCCAAGTTAGACAGTTAAATTTTCATTTCAAATTTAAAGTTAATTTCATTTAGAGTATTCATAAAAATGATAAAAGAAATTAACAATAAAAAGTCAAAACAAATACATATAAAAATAGCTATGATGCTTGCTATAGATAACCAACCAATTAGTAAAATAATAAATCATTGGTTAACATATACTGCTAATAGAACTAAGCCAGATATTCTATCCGGGACACCACTAGTTAAATGTTCTTCCGAGGTGTAATGTGATTTTAGAAGACTGTTAAGTCTTCTAAAAACACCTTTAAATTGCAAAAAAATAAAATAAAAAATAAGTAAAGAAATAAAAAATTAAAAAAGAGTAATATATATATATAAGTTTGACATGCAGGGTATAATATATATACAAGTGTGAACACTTGTGTGATTTAAACAGATTTGAATTTAAAAAAAAAAAAAAAAAAAAAAAAAAAAAAAAAAAAAAAAAAAAAAAACTGAAAGTGTAATGTACATTTATTTTGAAAGCATTATTTTGCATGATAAAACTCAAAATGCAAAACATTTAATACATTGAATTATTTATTGTTAATATTTATTACTAAAATAAAGTTTGTAATCCTACTGTATTTTTGAAAGTTTAACATAATATAAAGATTACCCTTTTATTTTTTTAATTTTATTGTGGTGATTTTATTGATGGTGGTGAAACTATTTCTGTATGGGGATGTTTTTCAGCAAATGGAATAGGTTTATTGAAGTTTTATGAAGGTTGTTTGAATGCTTCTTGTTATTTAGAAGTTATTGCTGAATTAACTGACTATATGATCACTCTTTTTGATTCTGAAGCTGAAAATTGTTAGTTAATGCAAGACAACGCACCTTGTCACAAAAAAAGAAATACTTAATAGCAACCAAAGGTTGCAAGCAACCAATAATTAATGTTGGAAGAGAAAAGATGAAGACTGTAGAGCTAGATAATGATTGACAGATGACTTAAAAGATTGCAAGTCATATGAATCAAGAAAGCAAGATGAAGGAAGCAAATTCCAAAGAACTGATGTTTGAGGAAAAAAACTAGAAGAATAAGAGTTTTGGAGCACTTAGGAACAGTCGCAGAAAAAGGATGAGACTTTATTGAATGACAAGTAATACAAGAATAAATTTTAGTAGATGGCACAAGAGACGCTAGCTCTTTAGAGCAGAGCCCATTATAGTATTTGTAGAAAACAGAAAGAGAAGCAACATTACTACAATGAGATAATGGTTGAAGGTTGGCTGCAAGAGCAGATCCAACTATGTTTACAATGCATTTTTGCACCTTGTCTAAAAGAGAAAAAGCATCATTCAAAGATCCACCCCAGTTATGGCAACAGTATTCCATACAAGGCCGAATTTAAGATTTATAGAGATAGAGAATAGAATCCAGAGTAAGAAAGTGTCGAGCTCAATAAAAAGATGCAACTTTAGCAGATGCTGATTTTGCAAAGGATTTGATATATAATTTTCAAGAAAGATCGGAAGTAAGAGTTAATTCTAGAAGATTAAATGTAGATGACTCATCGAGTACATTACCGTTCATAAATATAGGAAGGTCTAAATTATTGAGATAACAATTGGCTGAAAAAAATTAAGTTTTATCTGAATTAAAGTTCACCAGCCACTGTTTGCCCCATGTTGTAACAGAAGTGAGATCCTTTTCAAGCTCAAATGCCCCCTTCAAGCAATCAGAAAGTGTTGGCTTTAACCTCAATAAGATAATTGAAAAGTTTAGATCAATCCTAGGATCTGCTTAATACTGTTAATACATTAAGCAATTTGTAGACATTTAATATGAAATATATACAACTTTGTTTTAAAATCTTTTAACCAAGTTGTACATATCCTGAATTATTTTAATAATATCATTATTTCATTTTCATTTTACCTAGGTTTTAGTAAATAAAAGTCTGTAACTTATAATCTTCTGCTAAATTTAAATGATAGTGTGTGCTTTGGATTTTATTTTTGGTAGCAACCTTAGTTCACTACCATATTTGCTAAGAGAATGTGCTTTCGTAACTTTAACAATACTGCTACCATATAGAAAGTCTACATGTAGCAGAGTTGCATATCAAATGTCTCCACAGCCCAGCTCTGGATATAATGAAGAGAGCCTTTTATGAATTTCTATTGACATTTTTATTATTTAAGCATGTGAAAATAACCTAACCATATATAATATAATAATGACTAATAATAATATGAACTAGCAAATCTAAGCAATGTAAACTCTGCCAAGCAGAAAAGTTCATAAAGTACTGCCCACCAGTTCATAAAGTACTGCCCAATAAAAAAATAATATTATCATTATTCATACAGGAAACCATTGTGGGTCTGGTTTTAGGGCAGTGGATCAATTTAAAACTCCCATTTAAACCACAGCAATCCTGCATCAGAAACTGATTTGATGTCCAAACTAGCGGCTAAGTCACAAAGGTCTAGCTGCTAAGCTACGACATCTTTATTTGTTTATTTCTTTACTATTGTCTTATTAATAATAGTAAACAATAAATTATAAAAATTATATTAATCAAAAACCTTTTTTTCCAGGAAACAGTGTTAGGGTAAACAGTAAGTATTTCGTGATAAGTTTTTTTCAGCAATTTTTTAGGACATCTTGACTCAAGTGCTTTTAGAATATCAACCTGAGCTTTCAACATAATAATGTAAGCTGAATCTCTAACATCAGCTATATTACCTACAGCTAAACCAACCTAAAGAAAAATATTTGTTTAAATAAACATAAAATATCCACTTTAAGTCAACAAGTTCATTGGAAAAAATAATATAAAATAAATTTTTATTAAAATATTCTTTTTGTATTTTTTAAAAGATTTGAAACATTAAATTTTTTTTTAATACTTGAAATATGAAAAAAAAAAAAGGAGAAAATATAAACTTAAGTATACTCACTAACAAGTTCATAAGTACTATAGGGCAAACAATCAAAAACAATGTGAACAAAATATATGACATTTCTGGGTATGGCAAATCACTATTATCAACTGTAGTATTGTTATTTATGAATAAGTCATTAAAATCAGTCTCCCCAAGTGTCATGACAATGGTTTTTACCATAGACCATTCAGGAGAGGAAAAAGATGAATTTTCAAAAAGAACAAAAAATGATAAAGAGAATGCTATAATGATCATCACAAATACCATAATAACATTAATCAACGATTTTAAAACTTCAATAATCATAACAACATAAACTCCAAAAAATGTATCTCGTTTTAAGTAAAGTAACAAATTAGTCCAAGCAAATAAAATTGAAAATACTCCAGCAGTCCATTTTATATTCATAGTGACATAATTAATAAATGATAACATATATATAAAAGTAGATGTGTAAAGTATTAACTCCAAGTAATTGTTAAAGTCTTTAAAATATTCTTTCTTCAACAAGTAAGCCTGTACAAACTCTTTACAAATTTCAAAACTTGACAGAATAAGTATCACTTTAGGGATTATTATTTGAAATGCATTTTTTTCTTCTTGTTTCTCTCTAAAATAAAGCAATTAAAAAATAGTTAGATAAAATATATTTAAAATACATTGTGTTAATATATAAAATATATTGTGTTTCATTAAACCATTAATTTAAAAACGTGTTTAAACAAATGTTTATTTGAAAAATTTTTTTAATGGAACAATCAATAGAAATAGCTTATTGATATATTCTTTAATAAAGTTAAATTTTATCGAAAATCTTTGGTCAATTATTGACCAAAAACTCGAAAATTACAACATAAGAAACACAAATGACTTGAAAGATGCAATTCAAGACATTTTTTTTTTTTTTAAATTTAATTCACATCATATATATATATATATATATATATATATATAATATATATATATATATATATATATATATATATATATATATATATATATATATCTATTTATATATATATATATATATATATATATATATATATATATATATGTATATATATATATATATATATATATATACATATATATATATATATATATATATATATATATATATATATATATATATGTTATTTCAAATATATATATATATATATATTTGAAATAACATCTTAATATTGAGCCTTCTTTTATGACTATGAGTTTTGTTTTATTATTATAATACAAAACAGTCTTAAATATCAATATATATATACTAGCTGAGATCAGACCCTTAAAAATACGGGTATTTGTAAGTCTATTCCAACCCAAACTTTTTAATACCTTTTCCTTATATATCCTAGCTTTTCGAATTCGTAAAATACGGGTCTTTACCGAACCTACTATTTCTATTCATACCTATTTCACACCGATTATTTCTATACCTATTCGTTATTTACTTCAATACTTTTAAGTAAAATAATTTTGTTCTGAAAAACTACTTTAAGAGCAGAAAATTAGATAAACTAAAAAACGCTATGGAATCGTCCACAAATTACGCAACGCTATATTTATTTTTCAAAAAGTAGAAGAGATCTTTAGTTCTTTAGGATGACGATTTTCATTAAACTTAATGAGCTCTAAAAATTTAGATCATTTTTGTTTTCTTCAATTGTGAAATTTAACGTTGAGTAATTTATGGACAATCCCTTATTTTAAGGTTTAGATAAAGGATGAGCCAAAAAGTATATAAAGCCAAAAAAAAAATAGAGTATAATATTATTTTAATGGTTATCTAAATTGTGTTGTCATTGCGCACTTGGTTTTGTATGTTTAATGGGAGCGTGAATTAATAGCAGTAAAACTCTAAATTTCCTTATTATATCAATATTAAATATAAAAGTTAAACTTTAACTTTTAATTATTTTTAAAAGTAATCAGTTTAATATAATGGTTTCATTTAAATATTAAATTAGAATTTTTTTAATTATGTTTTTATAAAAAACAAATATTTTTAATCCCCGTACTGTTTTGAAAAACTTAAGGTTGCCGCGTGGCAAGTTCAAATCATCTCCTTGCTTTATTTTTAATTTTTGTTGTTGTGACCCATAAAACAAATTTTTTTATGAAAAAAAAAAAAAAAAAAAAAAAAAAAACGGTACAGCTGTTATTTTTTTCTTTATTAAGTCTTTAATTTTTTTTCGAATCTGCAGCTTATTAGGATTCTTGCCATTTTAAATTTAAAGAAAAATCATTTTTTTTTAAAATTAACAGGGCATGTAAAATATTTTTCTATTAGAAATAAAATTGTCCCTTTAATGCACAGACTTAACTAATAAAGTAAACACATTAACAACTTAAGTACTGTGACATATACTCAACAAATTTTTAACAGTGTAATCATGTTTTTAGAAATTTTAAAAAGTTTTGTAAAAAATTCTCTTCCTTTCATTTATTATAGTATATAATATTTTGATATATGTTATGCATATATCTATAGGCCTTAAAAAATGTTTTATTTTGTATTCTAAAAAATTAGAAAAGATTTTAAAAAAATTAGGTGTAAATAAAAGGATTTGAACCCATTCGAAGCACTTTAACCACTTTGGCATGTTTTAAAGGAATAAAAAATAATCTGTATTGTATTAATGGAAATCTATTTATTTATACATAATAACAAAACAAAATATATAAAGAAATGTATGTTTACAAAAAAATTTAACTAAATTTGCATTATCAATAAAGGATTGGTAGATAACCAATATTTGGTTTAATTGGTAGAATAATCAACTACATAAAACCTCATTATAGACGCAGCGTTTTTTGTATCTATTACTTACTCTCCTCCTTTACATATGTTTATATATATAAAAAGGTGGGGGATGCTTTTGCCCTAAATTTGAACCCACACCATGTGGGGAATGTGAGCCCTCTATTTGTTTTGCAAAATGCTAAAAAAGCATTGTAAGATGTCTAAAATGAAACAAAATTAAATTAAATAATGACATGAAAAAAGCTGAGATCGGCCCCAAACTGTTCACAGACTTTTGCTGTTAAAATCAACTAGGCACATTTCTAGCCTTTTTCCATAATTTGGATGGCTGATAGGTCGTTTGTAACGTTGCCAATTGTTCTGAAAACGACGATGAATAGATTTTGCTGCTTGCTCACTGTAGATTCCAAGAGTAGACCTTGTTTTTTGGATGAAGCCCTTAACATGGAAAAACATGGCATGTACTTTTGGAGTGATGCTTCCTCTTGGCAATGCCAAATATGAATCTCTGAATGAATCAATTTTTTCTGCATAAGTGCAATCCAACTTGTTGCCAAAGCATGCAGAAACAATGGGACCAAACTTTCGAAAGCTGTCAATGATGCTGAAAACTTGAAAGGCACTGTCATTTTCAGCCAGTGTTTGGATAAGGTCGAGATTTTTGAGGAGCTTGTGGCAATCATTCCCAGCAAATTGACCACCATGAAAAGGTTGGGGCTGAATGTGCAAAGCTTGGAGTCATTCAGCTGATTTGGGCCAAAGGTCTGTTAAAATCTTGAACAGATAGTTACCAACCCCAAGCAGTAGATGAAGCTCCATTGGTGGAATGAGATCAAGCACAAGTGCATCATCATCAAGTGAGAGAATAGGGTCATGAATCACGTTTCCAAACAATTTTGCTTTCTTGATGTCGGATCCAGCTGCTGTGTAGGTTTTGTGTGCTTGCTTCAAAGATCTAAATGTCCTCAGAGTACCCTGGTTTGCAAGGTTAGAGCTTTCCACAGTGCACCATGTGCATGGATGAGCTGAAGCATGTGATTGCAATCCACAAATTATATTTGCCAACTTCATATCACAGGAGACAACAAAGTTGATTTCACTGATTGAAATTAGAGAGAGAATGAGCTTTACATTGGAGTAATTCTCTTGAACTCCTTCAGCAACTGCAACCAGAAATTGCTGTTTTACTCCAGAATCCTTGGACGTTGAAGATGTAAGAAATCTTTTGTTTGGCGGATACACAGCTTCACTATCTGCTTCATTTTGTAGAACTCCAAGGCAGACTTTAAGAAAACCTCCACCACCATTTATTCCAAGTTTAATGATGTGTTTTGAGAAAACCTTCCTTGAAAGTAGAACTTCTTCAGTGAGTGCTTGGAGATTTTTGCAATGGATAACAACACTTTGAGACTTTTTTTGATCTGAACTAATGAATGTTGTTGGGGTTTGTGTAAAGTGTTCTTCTAGACTTTTTCCAAGATCCTGGAACTTGTGCAATATATTTGGTTCCAGTACTTTGGCAGACGAAACATGCATAATGGTGGAAGTCAGTTTTTTTATTCCACTGTTTGACAATCCTGTATTTAGTTGAACTTGAGCAAGATCCTTTGCGGTGACTACAGCTGGATCTTTGAACAACTGCTTAGAGCAAGAAGGACCTGCTTAAGAGCAAAATATAATATTTCAGTTACTTAAATGTGATGGTCGACCTTAATAAAATTATACAAACCTTGTGTGATTGGGAGCAGTCCTCCTCCTTTTGGCTGCACAAGTCTAATGGTTCCACAAGGAGAAGATTCTTTGCTGACAATTGTTGAGCTGGCAATTTGTTCTGCCACAATTCCATCAGATTTTGCAAGCTCCATTAAGTTTTCACGAAACTGTGATGAAGAGCAATGATGGGGTAAACATCGACCAATAAGAGAGAGACATGTAGAACATCTTCTGTCTGATGTTTTCTCTCCAGTTTTTGTTCTTTCAAGAGGGTGTTTCTCTGTCAGTTTAAGTCGCCCTATGTCACAAATCAAGCATTCACAAGCTTGACCACGTGTGTGAACTTTTATATCAATGGTTTCAAATTGAAACAGCTTGGGCAAAACAACCTTCTGCCCTTGATCACACTTTCCAAGGGCCAGTCTACACGGATCACAAAGACCTAGAGGAATTCTTGGATCATCAAAGTTGAACTGCTTGAATTTTGCTGACCAAAAATGGTGTCAATTCACGATTTCCTTTTCTAAGACACATGATACAAACAACTTTTCTGTTCTCATCGTGACTTCTTGCATGATTAGGCATTTTCAATTTATTTCAGAAGAAAAGATTGAAAAATCGACCTTCAAAAGCTTTGATTTGTAGTAAACTGCCTTTTCCCGGAATTTTTTTGGTAAATTCTTAAAAATAATTTAAAATTACCAATATTATTCAAAAAGTGCAAATTAAAAAAAACTATTATTGAAATTATTCTAGAGTTAACTTATTAGAAAAAACTTTCAGAAAAGCAATATTTTACCTATTTGGATTACTACCAATTTTATAAAATCTTTCACATTTTCGTATTTTTTGTTTCTTTATTATATTAAGTAGGTTTTATTATTTTCAAAGAGCTATTTGAATGTTAAGATATGCTGTAAAAATGTAAAGTTTCGAGAATGGTGTCATTTCATGAATATGTGCAAAATACAAATTTTCAAAACTGATTTTCTTTCTCGGACGTAATAGGATGATTTGACTTTTTATATTTTTGGAATCCAGGAGTCATAAGCTTTCACAGGCATATTGTGGTTTCTTTGGAATTTGAGTTGACACTTATTGCTCATTTAGGAGAACGGTGACTTAAAATTAGCTTTGTTTTTCTGCTTAATGCATTTCATTAATAGCTCAGTGATTAAGTGCGCTGTCATGTGTTGTTTTGGAAGGTTTAAGACCTCCACTTAGCGTAATAAGTTTTGAAATTTTTTCAATCTTGCTTATTTATTTATAGCAAAATAATAATAATATAGCAAAAAAGATTTCAAAAATTTAAAATAAAATTTTAAAGTTTTCTCATTTTATAGATACATAAGAGAATCTTATGTATCTATAAAATATATATATGTATAGATACATAAGAGAATCTTATGTATCTATAAAATGAGAAAACTTTAAAATTTTATTTTAAATTTTTGAAATCTTTTTTGCTATATTATTATTATTTTGCTATAAATAAATAAGCAAGATTGAAAAAATTTCAAAACTTATTACGCTAAGTGGAGGTCTTAAACCTTCCAAAACAACACATGACAGCGCACTTAATCACTGAGCTATTAATGAAATGCATTAAGCAGAAAAACAAAGCTAATTTTAAGTCACCGTTCTCCTATGTAAGATAAAATAAAAATTTTAAATAAAATTTTAAAGTTTTCTCATTTTGTAGATATATAGATAGAGACAATTATTCCATATAATACGTGGAAAATCAACGCTAAAGACATTAGATCTTAGAGCACTAAAACATAGTCATTAAAAAAAATTCATTCTTATGATTATGATTAAGAACTAAAGAATATTATTAAACGCTAATCTAAAAGTTAAGTCAAAAAGATTTTGCGCATTGACGTCAGTTAGTGGCAAAATAAACCTTTATGCGTCAAGTTTCCTTTTGCATTTATCTTACATTTTTTAAATTAATTTTTATTATGTTGCATACAAATGCATTAAAATATACAAAACTGGTACAGATATATCATTTTCACGGATAACAGATTTGTATTTATTACAATAGTAATAAATAGTTTTGGAGCCATCTGTAAAGGACGTCATCGATTTTAGCCAATTTTTGACCCCCTCCCCCCTTTATCACCAGTTGTTCTTTTTCCCTATACTCCCTTGAAAAGGACGTCATAAAATCTTGCCCCCCAACCAAATTAAACCCCCGAAAAAATTATTTGATCTCCCAATAATGTTTAAATCTGCTGCTACACCTTTGAAAAATAAAATTAAAAGTGTTCTTATACATTATCTTCTTAAAAACATATATTTACACATTTTTACATATTAATTAAACTAAAATAAAAAATCTATAAAGTGACGTCCTTTTCTGACATACTCCTCCCTCTCCTTGTTCTTTTTTGTCCTTTTTATCTCGAACCCGTCTCCCCTCTCCTTATTTTGACGACGTCCTTTATGGATAGCGCCTTTTGTCTTTATTAGAATATATCCCACAAAAATATATTCCATATATCTTTAAGAGATAGAGCTTTTGTAAAAAATTGAAATAAATACAATATCATTTTTAAAGGTCTAAGAAGCAGATGACATAACTTTAGAAATTAGAAATTATCGAGAGAGGAGCAAATCTAAAGTTGAAGTTTCAAATTTTCCAATCGGAAGTGACAATATATTTTGTGTTTTTTTAATCTTGTCAATTTTTTTAAATATAATAACATAACTACAAAAACCAAAAAACAAAACAGCTTAAGCAAAAAAGACTTGTAATTATTAGATTCATAAGTAATATAAGTATACTTATATTACATACGATCCTGAATAAAACGTTATATAAGTGGATTTTTTACATTTTATAAACAATTTTCTATATTTGAACTACAATTACTATTTTCACTAAAATAAAATTTTTCAATATAATAAAATTTTTAAGTAATTATTTTTAATTTTTTTGGTTTAGTGGCTTTTGTTAAGAGCTTTTAAATTTTACGTCAAATTATCTCATTTTAACATATTTGTTGTATCATTCATACTGCAGCCGTTTTTCAAAACGCCTTAAGGTTAAAAATATCATTTTTGACTTTTTTACAAAATAAGCTAGTTTATATGTCTACAAACATTATTGAATACATATTTTCAAAGAGTTCTGAAAAAAATTCATTAAAATTATTCCTTTCAAAAAACGTTTAACAAAGAGTTAATTTTAAATAACTTTTTTTAAATTGCGTTTTTCTCGAAATACGTAATAAGCATATTAAGGCGTTTTGAAAAACAGCTGCAACATATATTTATAGTAAAAAAATAAATGTAGCTAAAAAGCTTTTGATTATCAAAAGAAAGTTTTGAATTTTTTTCTAGCTACGGGCTTTTTTTTTTGCCTGCACAGCAGCACCTTCTTGAGTAGCAGGACTTTCTTATTTATTTAATATAGTTTTTTCTTTATTAAGTTTCAGACAATTTTTATTTCAGACCATCCGCAGCTTATTAGGACTAATTACCTGAGCATAATAATAACATAAGTTCTCAATCATCATACATACGCAAGGATTTTTTTCTCCCGGTGATGTTTTTTTTTTAACTTTCTTAAAATCTTTTCTTTTGTGAGTGCATAATATCGTTACGTTACATATGTTTGTATATAATCTTTATAAAACTTCAAAAGTATTATGTAATTTAAAATAATAAAAAAAAATTAAAAAAAATAGCCGCCATTGGTAGGAGTCGAACCTCAAGTTCCTTGTTCAGAAGTTCGACGCCTTATCCACTCGAGCTACACTGGCATATTATGTGGCGTAGATTTTCTAATAATGTAGTTTTTTGAGGAAAAAAATGTTATAGATTAAAATTAAGAAGAGCTTGACGCAATGTAATTTTTAAGTGAAAATCAAACTGTAAAACATGATAAATGTTTCAGTATGTTTTAACATAAGCTTTAACATTACTTAGTTTAAAGTTTACATACGTTAGATATTCGTTTTTGTTTTCTTATAGTGCTGCGACTCTTTCTTGCCAATACCTCGGTTGCAATGGCTGTCAAGGGTTTCGTGTCAAATATGCTCCAAGGGACACTACTACTACACTACTACTACTACTACTACTACTACTACTACTACTACTACTACTACTACTACTACTACTACTACTACTACTACTACTACTACTATTAAAACTATTAAGTTCGGCAATATTATATAGAAGATATATATATATATATATATGTATATATATATATATATATATATATATATATATATATATATATATATATGTATATATATATATATATATATATATATATATATATATATATATATATATATATATATATATATATATATATATATATTTATTCCAAATGGGGTGCTGCTAAGTTAAGGCTAAATTCCAAGATTTTTCATACTAGACAATAAATTTATTTATGTCTTATTGACTGATCAATATATTTATTGCATCTGTTGGGGTGTAATCACAGGGAATATAAATGATGACTATGCCTTTTTGACTTATAAACCATTCTTGTTGACTGAAATTAGGATGCAGAACCTTGGGGTTTATTTATCTATTTCCAAACCTGTTAAAAATCTTAAGCTTTTTTGTTATTTAGTTGGTTTGAAATTCAGATTAAAAAATAAAAACTGACAGTTCTAAAAACCTATTTAATGTGATTCAAAGAACCAATAAATTTCCTCAAATGCTAAGAACATTTGTTATAAAGTTATAAATAATTATTATTATTTTGCTCATGATGAAAATATTTTCATTGGAATGTTACCCAACAAGGCTGAAGAGGTAAGAAGGAAAGCGGTCGATAAAATTTTGCATTTAAAAGACCTCATGGAAGACTTTCAAGGTGAAGAAGATAATTTTGTATGGGGAACAGTTGAGAGTGACTATGACAATAAAGCCAATGTTAGCAAAACTGATTATCTTTCAATGAATGAAGATGTAAGAGTGTTTCTAAAGCCCAAGATTATTTTCAAAATTTTTATTATAAAATGACCCTATTTTACCAAAGGTATGCAATTCCACCGGTTTTGAGACTAATTGGAGAAGATAATATACTTAAATTTCCGCAAAACCACTTAAGTTAAGATATGAGTGTCACAGCCAAAATGTTATAAAACAAATAAAACTTGTTACAGAAGCTTCAGCTTCTGTGGTTGGACACGATTACAGAGTTATTTAAAACAAAATTAGGTCCAGGAAATTATTTAAAAATTTCATATCAAAAACGGATTTTAAATTGTAATATTTTGTATATTTTTTGTGTTTTATATATAAATAACACTTCAATTGTCAGGATTTTTTTCATCTTGGTAGTTAAGTTGAACATAGATGTTAAATATTAAAAGTATCCATTGTCATGACAATTTTTGGACATATGTTTTTTAGTCGAAATAGTGTCATATACAAAAATATGATGCATCATATTTTTGTTATATATGCCACTATTTCAACTAAAAAACAATAAAAGTTTCAATATTTGGCAATAACTTCATAAATATAGCTTTTAGAAAAAACTGTTATTTTAATAAAAAAATGTTTTAAATTTAGTTCTATATTTTTGACCATAACTTTTTTAAGTTTTAATTTAAGATAATTGAAAATCTTTTGCAGCCACTTTTTTTTTTGCATATTCTTTTTGAGTATGTTTTTTTTCATAGAGTTATTTTCGTATCATAAAAGTATTTATTAACATATTTATATATTTATATTATTATTTATACATTTATATTATTATTTATATATTTATATTATTATTTATATATTTATATTATTATTTATATATTTATATTATTATTTATATATTTTCACTTTTTCTTTAACAGACCAACCAATTACTTAACTAATGAAATTATATAATTCAATTGACCAATCCAAGAACTTTTCACAGAAACTACACTTTGCCTATTTTTTTTAAAGAACTTTTATAATGAATATTAACAATTATTTAAAAATGAAAAATAAGAATTATAATTAAAAATAAGAACTAAATTTTATACAACCTTTCTTTATCAATGGCCAGTAAACCAGTAAGCATACCCACAAAAAAGATATAAATAAACAAGCTGATTAAATGAATCCAGCGACCTAGGCGTGACCATTTATAATTAATTAATTGAACAGTAAGTGGATGAGAAAGTAAGTTTTTTCTCTTATATGTGATCATACACGAAGGTCCAAAATAAACTCTTTTTGATGAGTTTTCAGGTTGAGAATCAAGATATTTAAAGTCATATCTTATGTAGTATCCTTTAGAATTTTCATCAAGTTTAGAGTATTCTATGCACTTGTCTAGAACAATTAGAGCAATCTCAGGAGCATATGATATCAACTTTTCCATCGGACTATATCCTTCATTATCAATATGGTTGAGTACCTCTTTCCATCTAAATATAATAATATTACTACAATTACCAGTTAAAAAATTTAATTAATAGGAAAAATGCTACTAAAAGTAAATGAAATTTTACTAAAAATTAGCTTTTCATAGTACTTTGTATTTCAGAAATCAAAGTTTTTGCTCAAGAAAATGTTATAATATTTTGTAGTTTGATTAAAATTTTTTTAAACTCTTTTTCGGAGTATTATTTAAAAATACTCTATCACATCTTTTTTGTCTTTTGTGTGATTTTTCTGATTTTTGGAATTGAGTATTTCTACAATCAGATAATCCGTAGCAATCCTTCAGCTAAGAAGTAGTTTGCTAAAAACAATATACATTTTGCTTTTCTTATGATAAACTTGGCAAAAAACAGAGACAAAACAGGGTCATGGTAAGAAATTGTATAATCAACTATTTACTATATACTCAGTTAAGAGAAAAAGTTTGAAACTTTATCTTTCTTTTAAATCCCTGCACAATAAAAGTGAGCCCATCTGCACCACTCACCACAGAAAATCTAGCTATAGAAATCACGGAATAGAGCTCCTCACAATAATGGTATGGTGGGTCTTTATTTTTGGATTTTTTTGGATTGACCCTTGGATTGGCTTTTCTTAGGTTTTTAATTTTTTTTTTCTTTAGAGTAAAGGATTTTTATAAGAGGATGAGAAAATGGAGGAGGTCAAAATTTACTGTTTTTTCTCTTTGTTTTGATTCTTGTTTTGTTGGTGTCTGTCATGGAATGGGATTTGAATGGTGTGAGAAACTGCTATAATTAGTTCACCAATTATATATGGGTAACTAGCATTACTTGTTAAGCCTTGCTTATACCCAAGAATTATCAGCCAAAGCAGCAAAAGAAGGCTTAGCTAAAATGCTAGCAATGTCCTATCCATTGGCCTATTATTTTTTTAAAAGCCATTGATGGAATTTGATATATTACAGTATAAAATGATTTTATGATTTATGACCTGATTTTAAAAAGTTGCAATATAAGGGCAAAATGTGGAAAAACCTCACTGAAAATATTCCATTTTAACTCATTATGGAGTGGCACAATAAAATGCATTATAAGCAAAACAGAGTTAATTTTATCTCAAAATTTGTAAACAATAAAATATTATTCAGCTACAATAATAACTTTAGTTCTTTAATTATTAAGTACCAGCCATAAGTTTAAAAGTTAGATAAATGAGATGTGAAGTTTGTATTTACTATGTACTAAGCAAAGTTGTACACTACATGTGTATAAAGTATTATGATGTAAGGCAGTGAAACATGGGAAATGAAGGTTGAAGATGTCTAGCTCCTTGCAAGGAACTAGACATCTTCAACTTTTATACCTTTGTTCTTTCAATTGAAAGAATAAAGATGATAATAAAGTGAACATGTATTTTGATTCTTAAAGATAAGAAAAGAAGGGATGCTCTTAGAAATTGAGAATATTGAGGGTATCTGATAGGGTGCCTCAAAGAAGTTGGCCTGGGCACATGGAGCATAAAGACACAGATAATTAAATATTAGCATGTAAAAAGTTAGCAGTTTCAGTAAAAGGTATAGCTAGGAAAACTTTTAGAAAGTGTATTACATAGTGCATGATTATAACGATAATGATGATGATGATGATGATGATGATGATGATAATGATGATGATGATGATGATGATATAGAAGTGCAGTAATGCAACTAAATTGTTCTGTATTGCAATGCATTTGTTTGGTAAAGCTTCTTGTTATTGCAACTTCATGTTTGTTTTTGCAACTTGAATAAATGTTTTTTTGTAGGGCCAAGGATAATACCTTGAGGAACCTTTTTTATTTTTATTTAAATATTTTGTGACTTCAGGGGTTCCTTCCTTTATTGCTTCTCTTTCTCTTTTCTATAAATACTATAATGAGCTAAAGAGCTAGAGTCTCTTGTGCCATTTGATAAAACTCATTCTCATATTACTCCTCATTCTATTAAGTCCCATCTTTTTACTGTGACTGCTTCTAAATGCTCTAAAAATTCTTTTTTTTCCAGTTTTTTTCCTCCAACATTACTTTTTTGGAAATTTGTTTACTTCATCTTGTTTTCCTGATTCATACAATTTGCAATATTTTAAATCATCTGTCAATCATTATCTTGCTCTATAAACTTCATATTTTCTCTTCCAGTAACTTCCAACTCTAATAGTGGTTGCTTGCAGCCTTGTTGGAAGTGAAGATGTTGAAATAAAAATAAAATAAAAAATTGCAACCAGGGCGAGCAAGCTCAATAAAGTTTCACATGTTAATGCAACTTGATTTTTTTCTTTAGTTATATAATTGCAAGAGTAGTATATAAAACCTGATAGAAAAGGTAATGTCTTTATTCTTAATATATTTCACATTTTTTTCAAAATTGTTTGCACAAAAATTTAAACATTTAGTTAGCGATTGTCCATATATTATGCAATGCTAAAAACAAATATATGTATAAAAACTTTTAAAAAAAGAAGTAGGAAATCTTAAAGTTTTTAAAAGTTTTTCATTAAACTAGGCTATTTTGATTTTTTATTTAATTTAAGGCTCTGCAAAGGTAAACTTTTGATCTCTTTTGTTCTGTTTATTAGTGAAATTTAGCATTGCATAATTAATGAACAATTTCTAATCAAATCCACTCTTAAGCCAAAGAAATGTTGTGTCCAACATTAACATTGGAATAAGACACAACAGATTCCTATTTTAGATAGAATTTAGGCCCAGAAGGTTGTGCTGAAGTTCTGAAGATTTTTCCCTAAAAATTGTATTTTGAGTTTTAAATTACTGTAAATACAATGTTATTTAAAAGGTTTGTTAAACTGCATTTGCACACACTTACTTGTATAAACTACTTTGAAAAAATTTATTATATATCAGCTAGGTTATTAATTTAAAACAAAGTTATTTGATTAAATATTTTTTACAATATTCAGTTAGTTTAATTAGACTATCAAAACTTATCAAAATATTAAACTGAAATTTACCAAATTTACCAATCGAAATACCATCAGACTTCTGATGGTAAGCTTATGGGAGCACCCTAATAAAAAAATCTAAAAAAAAAAATTGGCCTCTGACACAAAAACGGCTTCTATTCAAAAAAATTGCTACATTATTAGGTACAGGAATTTTCAAGACTAAAAAAAGTTTGTTTGGAAATTTAACAGATTCTTGTGATATGGGTCTTTGTATCATTAGGTATTGAACATTTACAAACCTATTAGTTATACAACAGTAAATAGTTTTGAAAAAAAAAGACTAGAGAGAAATGGGGTCTTAAATACACCGAGTGGTGTTCTATGGGTATTTTTTGTAGTTTTTTTTTTTTTTTTTTTTACAACACAAATTTATTTTGTAATACTTTAGATATAATAGTTGGTAGTTTCTCAAATTTTGTAAAATTGGAGAAAGAAAATGCATTGTGCAATCGTGTCATCAAATTTGTCATCAAGCCATCATGCTCCAATGAAAACCTATTCAAGCAATGAATCATTATGATAAAACAAACATATTGACAAAATATTACTGCTTCATTGGTGTAAGTTTTGCAAAAACTCAAGGTTTTAAAAAAATTAGATATCTTGCTTCGTCTTCCCTAATCTATAAAAGCTATGAATATCCTTTTGATTTTATGGACTTATTGAGATGGTCATTGAAGATGTATTGATATTTTTTGATACAGCAGTTTAACTTTTAAGAAAAGCGCATTCTTTCAATAAACATAAAACTTTTGCCGCAAAATGAATTAAATAATTGTTACATTAAATAAATAATCTTATCTCTAATATACAACTTAACCCTATTTATACTGGGTCATGTAGGTTAGTTTATACTACACTCTTCGAGCACTTGAATTTAAAATTTTGAATACTTTTAAAGTTACATAAATTATAAATCATATTTAGCTACAATTATTAAAAGATATCTGAAAAAATAATGAAATTTCATGAAGGTCACCCTAAAAATGACTATAAAATCTGTACTATTCAAAACTTAGTCTTGATGCTGCTTTAACTCCATCACATTACCACCTATATATATCCATATATATATATATATATATATATATATATATATATATATATATATATATATATATATATATATATATATATATATATATATATATATATATATATATATATATATATATATATATATATATATTTATATCCACAATTATATCCTGAAAAATTTAATTTATTTACACTATCGGATAGTAATATATTCAAAATATAAAATTAGAAATATCTCAAAATAGTAAGTAGGCTAAAACTAAAAAAAAAAACAAAAATTAAATAAAATAGCCCCAGCTATATAAGCTTGTTGTTGTTTTAAAGTATGGATTTAAAATAAGTCTTACTTTTTTAGCTTAAATACTACTTCTTACATCTTAATTATGCAAGGTCTCCAGCATGAAATGATAGTTGTTTTAATTTCAAAAAGCCGTTGCTATAGTGTTGTTAGGGGCGTTTTTCAAAAATTTTAATTAAAATGAATTTTTACTGACTTATTGAATATTTATTTAAAATTCTAATTATACATTTTGGTTTTAACTGTGAGGTGTTGCATTATACTAGATGGAAAAAAGCCAAAAAATATTTTTTTGTTTTTTGACAAAAATAGGGGCATGAACCACTTTAAAAGTTAATGATTTTTTCATGGCTAAAAAGCCACAGATAGAAAACTGCCTGTAGAAGATTTAATCAATTTGACAAAATATTAGTAACATATCAGGTAACCTCTAAACTCCTAAAACTGTTAAAAATGAAAACTTTTTTTTGAAAACTGTATTCAGTTTCTTATTTTCTGTATTTTGAACATAAATATGGGAATAGATATTGCAATAAAAAAATGTGTTCAAGGAGTTGTAAAATTTAGTTATAATCAATAAAAATGCTGCAAAGTGAAGTTTTCAAAAATTCATGTTAGAGGGTGTAGTCGACAGAATGCAGATAATGCTAGGTCTCACAGTGTTGATGAGACCGACTGAAGGGGTCTCATCAACACTGTGAGACCCCTTCAGTCCTGCCTAATTGTTAAAGGCTTTTGTAATAATATTTTTTTGATGTTTAAACATTAAAAAAAGAGAAAAAGATATAGAGAATTAAGAGAATTTGTATGTATGCTTGAAATATTTAAAATGTAAAGAAAACTGTAGTAAAAACTAGAAAGCTATCTGACAACTATTTCCTTTGGGAAATAGTTGTCAGACAAAAAAAAGTTGTTTACTTTGTAAATTAAACAAGCAATTTTCCTTTTGTATAAAGTATCTATGCAAATAATATGATGCTCATACTTATGATCAATTAAATTAAATAAGATATGTACTCAATAATCTTAATCATGATTTTTTATAAACTATATACAATGATTATTCTATAAAAAATAATAAAAAAGTGATCAAAACCCACTACATTACTAAACAAGGTTAATGTCAGTTTATTGGCTATGAACTCAATTGATGCCTCTGAAACACTTGTAAAAGCTATAAATTACTGTTTTTAAAAAATTCTGTGAAAATGCAATATCACATCATTTTAAAATAACATGTTTTGAAAAATTAAATTCAAAATGTTTTTTTTGTAAATGTAATTAACCTTTTTGAGAACTACTACAGATTATGGGAAACCCTTCTGCCTGCCAACTTTAGAAACATTAAACTATATTTTAAAGCTATAAATAAATGTATTACAAAATAAAATAAAAAGTTTTATAATCACTAAACAAAAATTAATTACAAATAATCAAAAAACTTTCACCATTCTAGCTAGGAAACAAGATAAAACAAGCTTACGCATTTTAAACAAAAACTTGCAGATGCAAGATGGTAGGTCAACAAAATGTTTCTACTTATTCATAAAATCTCAGACTAGATCTTTTAAAAGATAGTAGTGGGAACTTCACACTAATGTCTTCTAGAACCCTAGTTCTAGAAGACAAATTGGGCTAGAAGATTAAACAACCTAAAACTTAAGAATGGCAGCAAAAAAAAACCTCAGCAATTTATCATAAATTTTTAAACAAAATACTTTTAGTGACACACAAACAAAATTAATAGCTTGTAACATAATACAGGTGAGCTTGTATACCTTTTGTGTGTGACAAATATCTTGCAAGCTTCTGTATGATGATTTTCTAAAGCTAGATCAAGACAATTTTTTCCATCTGCATTCTGGAATGATATGTCTGCACCATGATCCAATAAAATATTTATACACTTGACATGTCCATTAATAGAGGCATGGTGAAGAGGAGTTAGTCTGTTTGGATCATATTCATTTACACAAGCACCATTTTTAATAAGAGCTATCACAACTTTTGAATGTCCATTTCTTGCAGCATAGTCAAGTGGTGTCCAGTTTAAATCATCTCGTCCTGAAATTTGAGCACCCATTTCAATTAGAATCGACGTAGTACCTCTAAATGAAAATCTGATTTTTTATACTAAATATAAATATAAATGAAATATAATAATTTTAACAGATATAATTAGTTACTATAGCTATAAAAACAAATTAATGAAAACATTCAAGATTTCCTATTATTCCAGCGCATTATGTTCCTATCTATTACTTTTCAATGAATTTTGTTTCAATCCATTATGTTCTAAAGCATTATGTTAAAACCAAAGCACATAATTTAAATGTTTATAATTTTTTGACATAACATACACTTTTTTCTATTTAAATACTTTGTATTAAACATCAAATTAATTGATCCACACAATAAAAGTTAAAATAAATTATATTTACACCCGGCCATTTTTTGCAGCTAGATGCAAAGGTGACTGTCCTTTCTCATCAGTACAATTTATGTTTCTTGTTGAGTTTTTGATTAACATTACCAAACAAATACAATTTCCATACTCAGCTGCAATATGCAATGGAGTTTTTTCTTCATTATCAGTAACTTCAGTATCAGCTGATTCCTTAATAAGTATTTCGACTGACTAAATAAAAAAAAAAAAATTTTTTTTACACTAAATGTAAATACTTCCCAAAAAAGAATAAATTGATTATGTCACCTAAAGATTTGGTATAGAATAACTATTATATAATTATGTACAAACTTTCATTGTAAAATTTAAGAAAATGTAATGTAAGATAATACATAAGTGTATACTTTTATTACAAAATATAGATAAAGAACTTTGAATTGCCTTACTTTTGTAGGATTTGCAACTGTGCATTGCGTTGTAAATTTAATTTTTTTTGGTTCAACAATCAACATTGATACCAATATATTTTTTGACCAAACCATTTCATTGTAAAATTTAAGAAAATGTAACGTAAGATGATACATAAGTGTATACTTTTATTACTATTTATTTTTTTCTTCAACTTGATTTGTTTCCATTCTACAGGGCATTTTACCTAAATGCACCAAGTTATTCAAGAAGTAGATTTGTCAGTAATATTGTACACTTTCATGCAAATATTACGAGAAAATTTCTTTAGTTTTCTTTCAATATCAATAAAACTTATAGTTTTTGATTATAGCCAAGCCATCTTTTATGGTAATTAATGGTATCAAAATATAGATAAAGAACTTTGAATTGCCTTACTTTTGTAGGATTTGCAACTGTGCATTGCGTTGTAAATTTAATTTTTTTAAATTTACAACGCAAGTAGTATACAATGTGTTTTATTTTTTTAAATAAAACACATTGTATGCTATGAGTTCTGTGTCCTCCAAGTTCCCAGGGAGTCTTCAGCTTAGATATAATGCAGCAGTTCTCAATTTTTTGATACCAATATATTTTTTGACCAAACCATTTCTCTGAATGTGTTTATCAACTATAAATTGATCACTTTCAGAAAAGCAACAGTAAAACTGAATAAGGCACCGCAATTTTTTTACCCTCAAGTAACATTGAGGCTCCAATTTTACAATATCATGTAGTTTGGTAAGCTATTCTGTCTGACATCAAATTTAACAATCAGTTAAGTATATTTAATGACAGTTTCCATGTGTTTCCCAGCTAATCATTAATGCATAAAGACTTTCCAGCTAGTCGCTAATGCAGATTTCTGACAAATGATCATCATCAACATGCGCTGAGTGTTATTTATGAACTCCTCATCACCAGAGTTAATTTCTACATCAGTATCAGAAGTGGTACTAACTGAGGCTTTCATATTACTTTTGCTTGACAATAAAAAATCATATTATTTCTGTCTCTTTGTGCTTCTCTGTAACGCTTTGGTTAATATAAAAGTATTTTCCTTATCATGCTCAAAAACTGGCCCTTTTGATTTTTTTGGGCATGTTCAATGACTTAAATTAAGTGACATATTGATGACATGCTGCAATGCCAAACATAATTAAACTTTCAATTTTAGCAAATCATACTGCTGTCTTTGATTCCCTTTTTCTCTTAAGATTTATTCTCAAATTATTGTGCAAAGATTCTACTCTCTGATACATTCTTTGCATTGTAACAGTTGGAATACCAGATTTCAACTAAATGTTGCTAACATTTTCAAAAAATTTGGTAACAAATAAAAGCAAAGAAAAGAAGCAGAAAACTTAATTCTATAACACAAAACCACTTTTGGTCATTGATAAGGAAAAACTCTTTGGTTTTGTAAGTGATAATATAAATAAAAAAGCTGGATACTACACAGAAAACAAAAGAAACATGTCAAGAAAGTGTTTGCTTTGCAGGAAAAGATTTTGAAAAAAATCTATTAGTGTAAAATTAGTGAATTACCATTTCTAACCATTGTATGTCTAAGCCAATGTTTTGTACTTCCAAGGCTGTAGCAATCAACACATCAATCTGTGTTGATGAATGGTTAGAAACACAACTTTTCATTTATTCACAAGTATGATGTCAATTTTTACTATTTACTTTGGCAAGATTTAGAAAGATGTTATTACTCTGGAAAATAAATTTGATGGACAAACATGTCAATTATGCTAATAAGGAATCCAATCCACCAAATGTGTCTCAAGCACAACCAATTGAGAACTTTTGAGGGCATTTGGCCCAAAAAGTTTACGAGGCATGTTGGCTTGATTGATTGTATCAAATTAAAACTAAAAAAAATTGTTTAAATTTTTTACAGTTTTATTAGTTAATATTTTCTACAGTTGACTCTGAAAAGCATCAAAGCACAATCAAGATTTATTGCAGTTGGTGAACTTCTTTTAATATAAAAAATATTTTTTTATTTAGAAATTAATACTTTAATTTAAAAAAAAATCCAAATAGTTTTTTCTTTATTTGCTACTAAAATATTTAAGTTTTTATTTTGTCCAATAGCTTATGCATCACTTGTTACTCACTTTGCAGAACAGAATTTTAGAAATAGATTTAAATTCAATAAAACTTATACAGATTATTTGGTGTATATATGGATATTGGAAATCTTTTTACTATCTATTTTATTTATTATATATGTATTTTTAGTATATATATCTATATATACTAAAAATACAAATTATAAAAAGTGCTAGTTAAAGTTAATTAAAAAAAAAAAGTGAAAAATAATTAAAAAAATAGTTAAAAACCACTTTATAATTACTTGTTCACTGAATAAATAAGAATATTTATTATATGATCATAGAAAAATAACTATGATTGGCTATCATATATTATCTCATAGAAAAATAACTATGATTGACTGTCATATAATATCTCATAGAAAAATAACTATGATTATCATTTAATAGTTATTTAAAGTTTAAGAAGCTCTTTATTGATCATAACACATTCAAGTGGATATACTTTAGGTTTTGCGGGAAGTGTACTGTACAATGCTTAGGCAATATCTTCTCTGTTCGAGCAATGTTTATCTGCTAAAGAAAGCACAACTAAGACAGGATCAAAATACAAGCTGTGCCTGCCAAATGATTTTATTGCTGAGGTTGCTCCATGAAGATTTATATCCACAAACCTCTTCATCTGCCACAGCGTTTTCATGCCCTACAAAATATTTCAACAAAAATAGATTATTTCATCAATCAAACAATTAACATTATTCTTTTATTAATCTGCTTTCTTATTTCTTATAGTTTCTTCTAATAAAGCAGTTGCAGATACTGCTCTAAGGAACCACTGAGTGTAAAAGATACCTACAAACATAGCCATATCTCTTTTATATTTTTCTCTGATAAGTTTAGAATGATTTCCAACAGTAAATATAATTTAAGGTAATACAATGCTTTTGCCATGATTCTTGCCTGATGCAAAAGACCAGGAATATGAAATTTAAACCTCTTATTTTGAGAAACTGCCTTTAATGATTTTAGGTGTTTAAAGAGGTGATTGTTTGGACCAGACATTTTACTACCGGAAGAAATCTTGTTAAAGTGGCTAATATGTCTTTCTAAAACAAGATGTCTACAGGCAAGGATAAGTAGTGACTGCCCAAGCTTATGTACCATTCTTGTTATTATTCTGTTGTGCTTTCCAGTGTTGGAAGCAGTAGTATCAAAACATATACATTGTATATGATAATTGAGTTCAGAAGATTCTATTAGATTGTAAACTGCTTTGAACTCCATTTCTACAGCACCTGACTCAATATGAGGAATGCATAATAGCTTTTCCTAATCACTTTTACAAGTACAGCTAATCTTTCTTTTGTGGCTCAAATGTGATGATGATGCTTTTTAATATATATTTAGGCAGTATTATACTCATTAGAGTCATTGCATTCTGAGCGTAAATAATCAGTGAAATCACTTTTTGAGATATAAGATATATGTAAGTCTTCTTTTTCTGAGGATTCCCTTTTAGATTTCTTTTTTGCAGATCTCTCAGTACCTTTTTTAAAGCTAATATTAGAACAGCCTAGATAACCATGTCTTTTTTCCTTATGCATTTCCAAAAATATAATGTCCATACATTTAGTTTCTTTTGTTTTTTCTATCCATTGTTATTTCGCCAACCATGATTTTTATGTCATGTCCAACCAAAATACCTTTTTAGATGCTATTAAAAAGATATCTTTATCTTTGACTACTCAAGGTGTCAATCTGTTTAAGGGATTACAGCTTTTTATATTTCATTATTAGAGTTTCAAATTCTTCCTAAAATTAATATTAATTAGACCATAAAACACATTGTATGCTATGAGTTCTGTGTCCTCCAAGTTCCCAGGGAGTCTTCAGCTTAGATATAATGCAGCAGTTCTCATTCGCTTCTGGACAATTTGGTGTAAACATAGAACCTTTGTTTGAACAACAAAGTTTTTAAGATGATTTGGACTATTGCAGGTAATGGATAATATTGGACTATTTCTTCAACAGTTAAAAACTGATTAAATGATCGTTTCTTTCTAGTTTTTTTTAACTAAGAATGTTTTTTTGCCTCCATTTCTTATTTTACCAAGAATTTTTGGCATAACTTTTTTTTCATAACTAATTTTACTTTTTATTTCATTTAAATCAACTACAATAACATAAATTTAAATCTATTTTTTATATAATTCTAAAAACAAACTTCATTGAGTATCATGCAAGAACCATTTTACCCATGTTTAAACTTTGTTCAATCTTATTAAAACCGCAGATAATTGAGCATGGTTAATACATTAGTACAATGAAATCACATTGCTATCATGAAAACAACTTTGTGAACAGAATTAATGAAAAACCTAATTAGATTTAAAAAATATATATATACAAAAGATATATAAAAAGAGTATCTAATTCATTTAATATCAATCACTGAGATAATAAATTTAAACAAAGATCTTATATAATAATGTTGAAGGGTGTCACACATGGGTCAAAAAATGTCAAAAAAGGGTTAAAAATCTTACTTTGGGGCCGTGTACCAAACTTAAACTTTTTTTAAATTAAAAAAAAAAATTTACATATAAAACAAGAGTCTGCACACCTTTTAAGCATCCTCTCTAGTTTGAAAAAAAATTTTAAGGTTAATCTGAACCATCCTAATATATAAATTTGGTAATGGTGTAGAGGAAAAGTGCTTGC